TCATTCATATCATGACGGCATTAAAATTAATGCCTTTTCTTAGCATGAAGTACGTCAGTTAGCCACTCAAGTCAATTAGTCAATGAGCTAGCCAGTCAGTCAAGCAGTCTATCAGTCACACAGTCAGTCAGTAATTGAACCAGTCAGCCAGTCAATAATATTGGTCAGTAAGTTGGTAAGCAGAGAAGTCAGTAAGTCAGTCAGCAAGTCAGCCACCAGTCAATCAGTCAGTCAGCCAATTAGTCAGTCAATCAGCAAGTCAGAATGTCAGCCTGTCAGTCAATCAATCAATAAATTGATAACAGCTGTCATCAAGTAATTGAGCCACTCAGTAAGTCAGCCAGTCTGTCACTTAAAAGGTCATTCAGTCAGCCAAAGAATCAGTTAGTTAGTCAATCAGTCACTCACTCAGCATGTCAGCCAGTCAGTTATATTTAATTAGTCACTAAGGCAGGCATTTAGCAGGTCAGTCATTCAGTGAGTCAAAAGTCAGCCATTCAGCCAGTCACCGAGTCAGTCAGTTGGAAAGTCAGCCAGTCAGCCAGTTAGCAAGTCAGTCACTCAGCAAGCCAGTCAGCCAGTCAGTCAGCAAGTTAGCTGACAGTCAGCCAGTCCATTAATAGGTCAGTCAGTTGGTTGGTCAGCCAACAGTAAGCTGTAGGTCACTCCGTTTTTGTTCATTATCTCAATAATTTTATTGTTGAGCAAGAGTGAGTACAAAAATTTAAAAAAATTGTTGTTCAGTTGTTGTTTATTTAAGTCATTGACTCAGTCAGTCTCACTAACACATACAGTCAGTCAAGAACGAGTCAGCCCTATCAGTTGTTTAGTCAGTTAGTAAATCTGTTGGCAAGTCTGCCACTGTGCATGTTTTTTCTCTTTAAAAGGAATACTGCATTTCATTTTGTTTTTAATAATTTGATTAAAAAAACAATATCAAAGGATTGATGATGCATTACTACACTTTTTTCAAAATCACATGAATTCTGCCAAAACTCACATTTGCATTTTTCACTGCCGTCAATCATCTTAGCGGATGTCTTAGGAATCAGTAGTTTACTTTAACGGGTTCAAAAGGTCATGGATTGTGATTTTTTATCCATTTTGTGTGTTTCCGTTTGTTAAGGTTTGTTGCTTGTGATTGTAATTATGATTAATGACAGCTAAAAACACAATAGTGAAGGCAGCTTTTGAACTTCAGAGTTCGCATGTTTTTGAAAAGCACAATAATCTCTTTTCAGCTTGAGACAGATTGGAAAAAATTTATGTCCTTTTTTCTGGGGTGGAACATTTAAAGCCCTTGCTTAGCAATAAATTACACCATAGTTTCTTTACACACTCTCAGTTTTTTTTATAAATAAAAAATTGTTTCTTGTTAGCCAGTTTATAGTGAGATCAGGCTGTCTCAGCCAGTCAATATTCCACCACTCAGTCACCAAGAAAGTCATTTAATTACCAGTAGTTAAACAGTGAGTTTGTCTCATGCCTGAGTCTTGAAATAAATGTGGTGAAAGAGTTTTGGATTGGAATAATTTCTCAGGGAGCCACTGATACTTACAAGATAATATGTCTGAGTTGACCCATGAAATGTCAGCAGAACTTGGCTTAATACAGAATAGATAATAAACTGTAGCACACACGAACAAAGCAAATTACTGCTCATCCAAGATCATGAAAAATTGCTAGCTTGAAGAATTTAACTCTGATTTTAAAAAAAATGGAGGACCAAACCTGTCCATGTCTGAAAAATCGGATCCTTATACGTTTCTGGAAATTGCGCACCTACAGCTGTACCCCTCCCCTAACCCAACATTAACACTTACTTCTCACTTAGGGCAGAATGTTGGTTTAGGGGTGGGGTAGGTGGGGAGTTTTCCATAAATGTATAATGATCAAAATAATCATCTGGAAAATCAAGGTGAAATCCTGAAACATTTGTCACATACCCTGGAAAAACTTAGCAATCATACTTTGTTCAAGCATGCTCAGCTTGAACTCTAGTTTATCTGGACCACTAAAGAGCTGGATTACAAAGTAACATGTATAGCACTTACAGTACTGACAGTAATTTCTAAATCCCATTTGCAAAAGTCTTGATCTGTTTTTGGGCATCTGATCTGGAAAGAAAATACAGAAAAAAATTATCACCTTGTACTTGACTCTGACATAGTCCCTAACTCAAGAAATAATTATTTAAATAATGCCCGGAATAATAATATTAACACTAGAAATAATGTGGTACAGGGTCTGGAAGGGTACATTTATTTTTGGGATCAGGGATTTGACCAAAATACAGTGAGAATGGGAAAATGCAAAATACCTTGACCAGAATTTGACTGTTACGCAAGAAGTGGGATTTACAAAAACATTATTTGGGCATGGGATGTGGGAGTTTGTTGCTAGTCTATTGGGAATTCGGGAGCTAAGCAAGTGAGCAGGAAAATACAGAGAGAGAGGGAGAAGAAACTCTCTCCACTCTCCCTCTTCCTTTCTTCCATTTTTCCCCCTATGCTTCAACACAGTCAGGTATCATAAAGGCTGCTTAATTCTTGCAATTTTCTTAAACTGACATGCGTTAATACAAAATATCAGTGATAAGGGTTAATCTACATCTTAAATTTATTAACTTTTGCAGCAACTTTTAGTCTTGTTTTAACGAATGTACTTTGGAAACGAAAGACAGCACTCTAGTCTGAAATGTCATATGTCTACCCAGCCCCCAAACCCGTGGGGGGAGGGCGGGGGAGAGAGAAAACGATGAAAAATAGTATGGGATACAGGAAGGCAGGATCAGAACCCCCCCCACCCCCACCCCCACTCTCCCACCCCTTCCAGACCCTGGTAGTAAGGGACGGAGGGAATAATAATGCCATGATTAAGCAACACTGACACTGAATTGGTATCTGGGAGAGTTTGCACGCATGCATTACCCTCTGAATCCATTTCCCCATCCATATTCCCCATAGCAACACATAACCATAGAGCCCATATAAATGACAGTAACCCCCTCCCCCCAATCCAAGTCACAGAAAACAAAAAAGACAACTGTAGATGAACCTAACAATCGGTTCAAGTAGAAAGAAGTCTAAATCAACCATGAAAGAATATTTAAAAATAGATGGGAATAGTTATAAGACACTAGAAATCATAAGCCTTGGCAGTGTCATATTCCTGGAGACATGATGAGGCTCAGGCCTCGATCAAGACAGAGAGCAACTGACAGCATTCCTATGTATTTCATATCGAGTAAAAATAAAATAGATACAATTGAGTACTTTCCGTTCGAAGAAATAATTTGCTCTAACATACAAATAAACGCTACAAACCTTTGAAACCAGAAGAAAGCTAAAACATGCTTGTAGCCCGCCATCTTTGAATTTTTTGCTAGTTCCCAATTCCCTTCCAAAATGCGCGCAAGGGGTTCGCGCTCCTTCCGCGCACAGTGGACACGCTTGTCAGTTTCGCGCGTGGAGCCGCGTTTTTCGTGCTGATTGAGGAAGGTTCTTTTCCATCGGAAATAAAAGCGTTTAGGTAATGGTGTCGCTTAAGAATGGTTGAACTTATGAATGATTAAAAAGTGACTGAGTGAGTGAGTTTATGAAAACAGGTTAATTGAGAGATTTAGCGTCACGACTTTGGACAAAAAAAAGAAAAAAAAACGGCAAAGGTCAGATTCACGTTGAGAATTTTTCAATATAGAAAAAGAGCAGATAAGAACAGTCCATAACAATTCATATGAATAAAAGTGTCGTGAGACTACTAATTTTTGTGAAGAAGAAATGAACAGCAAAAGGCAAGTGAATGGAAAACCTTGTCACGTGGTACAATTCACGTTTGGCGGCCGGAAACGTGACTCATTGAAGGACAGATGATAAATAGAGTGCATGGAATGACTGAGAATATCTTTTTTAAAGGAAACGTTTTATAGGAAAAGTTGACATGGGAGAGTTCAACCGTCAAGCCTGTAAGTCAATGATGCGCATACGTTATTTGCAATCGCATTTTACACATTTTACAAGTTCATCATTCTCGACCCAGAGTTCACGCGTCCAGAATGATAAGCTCACTCATCAAGCCATCTGGGCCGTTTGAATCCCAGTATAAGCTTTAATCAGGCTGGTCTTACTGTCAGATAGAACATTTTGAGTTGATATAGTACCTAGCGAAGCCCCGAATTTGCGTTTTTTTTTATCCTGGAACAAAAGAGCCCTGGTCTACCGTTAATTTGATTTATCAGTTACCGGAAGTAAAGTTGTGTATTCGTTTGCAGTCCTGGACATTTCGCCTGGACTGGGAAATGAGAGGCTTATCTGTGACCACGCCTACGTACTTTTTTTAAGGGGTGGGGGAAAGGAGGAAGGACTGCCTAATTCCAGGTTATTAAGATGCTTGGGAGAGCAGCGTACGGGGATCACGTCGTGATTACAATCTTTTAGTCACTGTTGCATGCAATTATAGCGTGCGATTAGCAAACTCTTTGCAAAGTTACCAAAAAAACATAAAAAGTATATCAGCGATAAATTTTGTTATAATGTACAAAGCTCAGCCCTTACAATCATCTTTCCACATACTAACTGGTTATTTGCATTCTTGAAGCTGAGTGCCTGCGAGCATGAATATGACCAGTTTATAAGGAGGGTAATGCCTAAAGTTGATGATGTGAGATGCAAAAATCAAAGAAAGAAGCAAATAAAGACTATTACTGTGTAAAATTGGATTAATTTTCTTTGACACGGTCTCTAATCACAAAGAGCGCATGGGGGCGACAAGAGTACGAGGGGAACGATCAAAGTGACGCAGGAGAGAGGACAGACAGACATTCCTCTTTCCCATAAAACAACGCGTCCGTGTTTTGATCCAACAAGAAAGCAATGGGGTGAGACAGAGGTTTTTGACGTCCTTCACCAGTGGAGATCCTGGTAAAACGACAGGCCTGAAACTGAGCAAAGAAAAAGAAAACCAACAATACAAACTGGACATGTGTGCAGAATGAAGGACACCTTTAATTTTGTATTCAAGAGCCACTTACTATATATTACAGAACATCTGTCAATTTATTTCACATAGTATTTGCCTCGAGGTATGGATAACAGGGTATAACTTAAACGCTAACAATGGACGTATGTCGTATTTATATTATCTATTCAAGTTTACCGAAGAGGATTCGCCCTCTACTTTTTTCCGCGGTTTATCTCTTTACATTTCAAATCTTACAAATTAGCAAGAAAACTGCTTTAATAACTTAGCACGCAGATAATCAACTATTTTCTTGTCCGCCTACCTTCTCTTATAAATAAGTAAGAAAACTGCTTTAATAATTTAGCATGTAGGTCATTCTATTGTTTTTGTCTTCCAACCGTAACCCCTTAACGTAGGAATTTGCTTGACGTTACTAATCGAGGTTAAATTACGTCTTCGACGCAAACGGACGCAACTAACTTATATGGTGTTTTGGAACGGCCAACTCCCACTATTTGGCTGATAGGAGAATACTGGGCGAAAGTGTTGCGTGAGTTCCCTTCAAATTGTCTGTTCGATTCTGATACCTGGCTACACAGCCAGAGGGTTGGTCCATCATCGTTTCTTTTGAAAAGCGGGTACGCTGGTTTTTGGTCTTAGAGCTGCAAAAAAAATTAAGACCACTATTAGCGATTATTCCACGACTAACTTTTATCATTTCACGTCAGTTGGACATCACGTTGGGTATACGACAAAGGAAGAGAACCCCTGGGGAAACTTCCCGTAATAGACTATACGGGGTTTCTAGAAGATATAAGGATCGTCTAGAAGAAATGCTATATCCTCAATTCTCTCATCTCATTATTTAAGCAAATGAATGGAAATCAGTCTGGAGAATTTGTGTCAAGGTTTAGGTACTTCCTCTGGGAAGAAATCATCATTTCAGTGGACATATACCAACATTTTGTCTATAAGGTCAAAATTACAGCCACATATCATAACCAAATAAACGGTATCAAAGGAAAATACTTCTAAGTAGCTTCAACATTTCTTACAATTTCTCCCACAGGCTCAGAAGTCAAATACTATCAAGTGTAAGTTACCACGATTACTCGGGACTTTTCTACCTCGTCCCTAGGGTATATTCGGCTTTCAAAATGGCGTCTTTAGGGTTGGTTGTTGTACATCATAACCCACGGGGTAAACTTACCAGGATCTGCTGTTTTTCCTGCGGATTTAGGATCATTGTAATGCGCCACGATTCTTTTGTCGTTTGTCAACTGAATATCTTGTTCACCTCCTTTGTTACTACAATCAAGGGAAAAAGAACATCTTAGTATAAGCGTGCGGTTTCACCCGTAAACAAAAACGGTCACCAAAGAGCCACTGGGGTTAAGAAATCAGTATAAGATTCCGGGAAGCAACCACCCACCCCTCCCTTAACCTACTATTTTGTAGGTGGGCACTTTTCCAGAATCTTATGCTGACACGAAAAAAATCAGGCGAAAGATAGTCGACCGCGCGGGGAGGAGGGAGGGGGGTGGTTTAGGCAGTGATAATGGGGATAGTATTAACAAGAGCTATGCAGTAATTTGCTTGTGACTTTTTTATTCCCATTATTATGATTATTCCAAGCGTTAAGGAATCAATACCCTGCTGCAACCGGTACCTGAGTACATTTTTCCTCTCCGCCAGAGCTATTTGCTCCTCGTCTGTGAACAGTATCGTGTGGTGCGGTGTGGGCATTTCCAAGTTGGGAAGAATTCCTCTTGTGACGGACGGAACTTGTGGCAGGATTCCATGATACACGAGCAAGTCATCAACTAGTAGCTAGAAAACACAAAGGGAGCGTAAGCAACGACGTTTTTTAAAGACGCACGTTGACTGGAACTGGGTTTTTTTGCACTCTTGCGCCGTGACTTTGACCACATTTTTTCGGGCATATCGTCTCTACGAGAGTTAAGAAAATTAGCTATTCAAATTTGGCAGCATCAAGATATAGGGCATATTTATATGGATGTGGGGGACCCCATGTAGGTGAGGTAACCCGCTTAGGTGGAGTAACCCGCCTGTCCATGTAATCTCTCATTTTAATTTGATCACGTTTACATGATAGGTGGGGTGACCCGCCACATGTTACCTCACCTATCTGAGGTCCCCCACCTCCATGTAAACAGGCCCTTATTAAAATGGAAACGTTCCCACTTCCGGTTGACATGCGTCGCTCAAAACCGCCTTTGTTTTAGCTCCTTTATTAGAATACTTCATAACCTTCGCTCAAGTAGGTACACGGGAAAAGTACATTTCTCTCCAATGACGTTTCGAGTTAACTCCTAAAGTTTTCGAATCTTGCCAAGACTCTCAGTTTTACATACATGTTTTAGCAACTACTAAATCGCAGGAACGTTGGAAGGGACACTTCTGATCATAAACTGATCATAAGAACACATACAACTGACACCTAAATAAACGAGAGCCCAAGGCTTCAACGCTGGGAATTTATGCTCCGCTAACCGCATGCCTCCCTCTTAAAGGAGTGCCTTTATGCATGATTTCACAGATAGGTACATTTAACAAATCGACCACAATTTTCCATGGTCTTCACTCTTATAGACCATAGAAATGACGTCGTAAAATGTTCAAAACTCAAGTGGAAGCACGAGCCGCAGACGAGTGGTAATGCTGCAAAGTTTTGAACATTTTATGGCGTCATTTTCATGGTCTATAAGAGTGTAGACCATAGAAACTTGGGGTCGATTTGCTTTTTACAATAACATTTATTTTTTTACGAAAAACCAAAAACAAAACAACCGGCACTGCGTGACATGTTACGTCATTTTCATGGTCTAATCTCTAACAGACCATAGCTCTCGACCAATCAGCGCGCGACGATTTGCTCAGAAATTGTAAAACATAGAATGAGGAGAACAAGGATAAATTTGCTTGTTATGGGCATATTTATTACGTAAGTGAACGTTCACGTTTTTGCCTTTGCCTTACCCCAAACTGCTGCACTCCTCTAATGGGTGTCTTGCTGTAATTCCAGACTTTTACCATGGAAACTGTCACGGGTTCGTCAAACACCACATATATTAAATTAATCTAGAAAGGACAAATGAAATAGCATTTTGAAACAGTCAGGTTTACATGAGTATTGTGAAAATATCTTGTAAAATTCAGGTACCAGGTAAAACTCTAGTTATCTTGAAAACAAGGCCGAGTTTTCCAAGGTTCCCAATAAAATAAAATGAGATGACATGAGATGAGATGAGATGAAATGAGATAAAATTAAATTAAATAAGACGAGATGCAAAGAGATAAGATGAGATGGGATGAGATGAGATGAAATGAAATGAAATGAAATGACATGAAATGAAATAAAATAAAGAAAGAAAGAAAGAAATAAATAAATAATTACAATTCCAGGTAAGATAGGTGCAAGCCACATATGCCTTCCGTCGTATGTGTCATTAAAACCGTCAATCAACTTGTCTGGAGTCCTGATATCATCACTGACTCCTTCCAACTCATTCACACTGTGTGGATATGCAGTGATGTTATTTCCAGTCAGACGTATTCTGTAACCATTCTCGTCATAGAATTCCAGCCCATTCAGACCGATGTAATACGGATCACCCCAGGTTGAAAATAGTTGGAACTGGAAAACAACTGGCAACCAGTTAAGAAAAAGTGAACTCGAACCTTATCTCAATCCCGGGGATCCGACCTTTTACTCATATATGTACCACTTTTGACAAAAAGGACCCCTTTCGTATACCTTCTATTGACAAAAGGTACCCCTTTTTACCCCTAAACATACCTAGTTTAGAACTTTGCATCCCTTTCAACTGCTGTAAATGCAATCTTTAAAATATGAATAAATCAGAAAACCAGAACGCTTTCACGACTTTTTCTCAGCCACAAAATGCATCTGTTAGCCTTTTTGAGCATTTTCACCGACCGAAAAGAGAAATTTCTTTACCTTTTCATATACTTCAACAAGTGAAATCGACTTTGCGGACCGTGTCAGAGTTCCTAAGCCAACATTAACACTTATTTCTCATTTAAGGCAAAATGTTGGCTAAGGAGAGAAGTATAATGATTTTAAATAATTTAGACCACGATTTGAAAGAAAGCCATAACGTTTAATTTAAAATTAAACCGAAGAAAGTTTTGAAATTATCCAATAAGATGAATTATTTGAAGGATACAGCCACAAGGCATTAGAGTTGGTTCGTAGTCAGGCATGAGCTTCTTCAAATTCACCTTACTTTCCGACCTGTACATCCAAAGCAAGAACATAAGTTAAAAAATAACCCGAAAATCCGCCATGAAGGGCTGAGAATGTGTTTCGGCACAATTAAAAAAACGTTAAGAGATAAGGAGAGGAAAAGAGAGAAAACATGCAGAAGACGTTGATAACAATGAAAGTAATAAATAACACACGTAAAAGAAGTGCAGCCTAAACCGGAGAAAACAGCTTTGGTTCAACTATATCAAAATTGAAGTACCAAACGCTTCAACCTTCCCCAGGGAAGACTGTTCACAGTCCGCTATTTGGGAGCTTAAGCGACAAGTAGACGTCAAAGAAATGTACTAAAAAGCGTGATGCACGTGCAGAGCTGTTGTTTTGCTCATAAAACCAATTGTTTTTTGACGTTGTTGTCGTCGTCGTAATAGTTGCTTGAGGTCCCTATTTTTTCGTAAGATCGCCTAGATCGAGCACTTTGCGTTTCATACAGCCATTTTGGACGAAAAAAAACTACTTAGGGTAGTTTTGATACTCATCTAAGATGACTGCCCGTAACGTAAAGTGGCTCAATCTCGACGATCTTACGGAAAAATAGGGGACTGTGAATAGTCTATCCCCAGGGCTTTTCCTTAGAAAATGGAAGACAAATCCCCGGGACGAGGTTGTAGGTGGGTCAGAGTAAGAAAATTTTATACCCTTGTATGAACATTTCTCAATGCCAACTTTCCTCTGAAAGAATGACGAAACAAACCATTATCTCATGCTTTAAGAACACGTAGGCGCTTAAGAGATTTCGATGAAATCCATGCAAAACACGGAAAAATACGACGTGTTAAACGCAAAATATTCAGCCTCATAAAAACGCCCGAAACAGTTATTGTAGTCATTGACGACGTTAATAAGATTACTTTTTCTCTTCACCAATTGGTGTGGACTTTCAGGCAATTCGATTGATTCGAAACTCTAAAGAACGTTTCCCTTACTGATTTTTCAAAATAAACCCTAACAAGTAGCTGTAGTTTGGAGTCAAATAACAAACCTGCGTTCTGCACCCTTGGCTTTGTCGCCCTGTGCTGGAAATTCTTTTTCCGGTTTGATGAAGTAGATATCCTGACCGTAATCAAAATGAACATTTCCTGGGCCTAAAACAGACAAAAAGGTTGGGCATGAGATTATTTATAGCAAAAAGAGAAAAAAGAAAGGTTTGAACCCAAGAGTCATTTCATGAGTACGTGGAATATGATCGTCCAGGTGATATAACCAGAATTTAATACCATTACTTGACGTGGTACAACTGCCTTTGACTCTGAAGACGACTTACCGCACAGGTTGTCGAAACGTCAGTCACTATCAACAACAGTCCTATTCTGAAGTACAATCACCTGAACGATCATGCTCCACCTACTTATGATTACGTTATTGTTCTTCAACTATAGGCTAACCTTTTCTTAAAAGGAACCCTTCTGGTGGTGAAATGATCCTGTCATCAAGCTTAATATGAACTTGTTTGGCCTGGGAACAAGTAAGAAATAACACTCTGTAAGTTATAGTAAGAATTTGTGCATCAGTAAAAAAGCATTACACATTGTCTCGGGGCGTCCCCAAACACTCGATCTTGTTTCACGAAATGCACGAAACAAGAGGCATATAAGCACTTGATCCAGGCAACAAACCCGAGAAGGGAGAATTATTCCATCCAGCCAAATACTCTTGTGAGTTTTCTACCAAACCTAGAGTTTCGATGCTTTGCTGGCGAAGATTTTCCTAGGTCGCTTCCTGATCGTTAGCCAGAATATAGGCCTTTGTTGAATTTACACACAGAAACCTTCTAGAAGAGCTACGTAAATGTAAAGAATATATAACCACGTAAGGCTGAGATAAATAACGCCAAACTGAGGACATTCTCACATGCGCATCACACGATGTTGCTCCTTTAAGCGGATAACAGTAAACGCCCTTCTACTACTTGAACATTAGGGACCGGTCATTACTTATCGCCTGGGCGGGGGGGGGGGGGGCGGAGGATTTTGGGGGGATCACTTGATTTTTAGGGGAACCAAAGGGGGGATCAGTCGTAACTGAGAAACCGAAAGGGGGATCATCCCTCTAAAATGTCCAACTCCTCCCCTTTTCACAATTACACAATTCACTTCACTTCCCCCCCACCCCATTCCTAACATTGTTCGGTCCACCCTCTCTAAAACTTCGCGAGGTTCTGCGACGCACTTATTTCCACTACGTTTCTTACCCCCCTAAATGTATCGTCTATTGACTTGTTATAGTTCCAGACTCGTAGTCCAATCAGGGGGGTGGGCTGTCCTAGATCCACAGTTAGAAGGTGGTCTTGTCCATCAGTGAATGGTATCAACCACATGTGTTCATCACTCATGGTGAGGTTTGATCCATCTATGATTCTGTTGGGATAAAAAGAGCCGAGACGTGACTTAACCCTTTAAGCCCCAAGATCCACCTACAAATTCTCCAGACTGTTCTCCATACATTACTTTTAAGAACAGTTGAGAGAATTTGGTTTACGATCAAAGGGTTCTCCCTTTGGTAATCAGTTCAGTAATTCTCATAACCTTTACTCTTGATGATCTGCTGTTGTTGTTAGGAGAAAATTGATGTTGGTCACTTTTGGGACCAAAAGGGTTAATACAGGGTTCGTACAGATTTTTGGGACCAAAATTTTAAAAGACTTTGACCAGCCTTTTTTCCAAAACAACAATGTTTTTTCCAGAACTCAAGGTTATCAAATAGGTGATCCGTAGAGGCCTTAAGAAACGCAGGAACAGAGCTCTTTTTCATGATGCGCTGCTATTTGCCGGCACGGACCAGAGAACTTGGTCGGCTACGAGGAATTATGGGTAGCTTCCTTCAAATGATCCCCGACCGCAAATGATCCCAGTTTGCGGTCGGGGATCATTTGTGATACTGTACAGTTCGCAAGAACTCAAAGTAACAAGAAGCGAACGAATGTAAGCAGAACTTACTTATCAAGTGTCCTATCGTCATCTTCGTATTCTGGGAGATCATTAAGATCCCTTGGACAAGCCTTGTTAAAAGAAAAAGAACACCACAAATATAACACGCATTAATAAATTAAAATGAATGAAGCAGTGAAAGGTTACGATGAACAGGTTTGCTTCTGCTACCTTAAGCATGCTATAAGACAGAGGAATGACTTCCTGGTTGGGTCCCAAAAACTCCATTCCTGTAAGTCCCATATAAAACGGATCACCCCATGTGGACAAGAAATTCAGCTGAAGAACTGAAAAACAACAAACACAACTTTATATTTATAACGAAAATCGGGTATTTTTTCGAGCGACCAGGATTATGGAAAACCAAATTTAGCGAGTACAACTCTTTTAGTTAAAATTCTCGACTCCTTAAAGATTAATAAAAAGGATCCGAAAAGATGAATCTTTAGTAGCTCTTGTATGATCTGTCTTAAAAGCGTTAAAGGTCTCTATACCGAATGCTACGCTTGCTGTGATAGAGAGGAGAAGTGTGACGTCACGTTACCATGGTAGCAAAATTTCTGGATCACAACAATTGAGAGCTTAACCAACGACGACAGCGACGGCAACGAGAACGGCAAAAAAGCAATAGGTTTTCTTAAGCAAAACAATAACGCTGCACGTGCATCACGCTTCTGTACATTTCTTAGCCGTCGCGGCACGACAGCGGCAATCACATGAAACTTCCTAATTTCATGCGCCCGCTTCAGTGGAGTAGGTGAACATCAAACAAAAATTTTCTTTTGCTAAACACAGATACGGTCCTTTAGGATTCAACCCCAGAAAAGTTCGCCAATATTGGACAAAAAATGAAATTGAACTGATAAGATGGACGAAGTTTGACACAGTCCGAATTCACTTTTTAAGTGATATTTTCGGTTTGTTGTCATCCAGAAAAATTGCTACCATGGCAACGTGACATAACGACTCCTCTATTGGCCGTTGCTTACGATCTACGAGAGTAAAGAAACTGATGACGTCACAAGGAAATTGCTTTCTCTATTTTGTCTGCTATGACGCACATTTTTAAAAATGTTTACGAGGTTATTCCAGCTTGAAGGCCTCTCAAGCGGTTAGCATAGGAACAGCGTTATTGGCGACTTTAAAACTACCTTAACTGGAACAAATCTTCAAACAGTCGACCGCCAAAAGGCAATGTTTTCTCTTTGAATATTATAAAACAAATAGATTCCATTTTGCCGTGTGTGTTTGCAGTTACATTTCACAGAAGACTTCAAAATGTGGCCAAAACATCATTGAGACACTCGCAAGTGGCTCGTGTGCCACTTTTTGTTCTCACCACACCATGTTAATGGCTAACTGACTAACAACAGTACCTACCTCTGCCTTCAAGATAACCGCTTGAGCTTGGTACACCATGTACTGTAGATAAAAAGAACCACACAAAGTTAGGCCAATCATTTCCTTGTCAACCTCACCGCCTTGAGAAATAAGTGACATCTGTTTGATACTCTGCTAATGACAATGAAACGGCGAATAAAGTGGGAGTTTGAGGACCTAATCAAGGTCCTGATTCGACAAAAAACCGGAGCCTATCGCCCCGAGAGAACCGTCACAGTTTCATAGTTTTAGGCTTTTTATAGATTTAATTTTCGCGCCAAAAAACTCTCCGCCAATCAGAGTACAGTAGGACTACCAGTAACTGTGGACGATATCAGAAAACCGTCATGCGAAGACAGCTTAACTAGATAAAGAACGCATGAAATCTGGACCGAAGAAAGGAGATATCTGGGACTGTGCAGATATTTGGAAACAATAAATTTCAAAGGAAAGGCATAGAAAATACACGAGGAGCCGATGGTCAATTCGGAGTAATGGGCTTCTCGATAATCTCCATTGGGTTGCCTGTGCGCGTTTAATGGGTCTCCTGTAACGGACCTTCTGTCTCTTCAGTCTTCAGAAGCTCTTGATCAGGTTTCGTTTTTCTGGCGTGTTTGGCAGATGTAAATGGTCGATCTCCACTTCCCTGAAAAATGTAAGAAAAAATGGTAAATGTATTTGATATTTTAATGTATTTAATGAATTTTGCATACTTAAAGAATTGTGGGATATTGCACCTAACCCGAGATGGGATTTTACCTTATTAGAAATAGCGGTAGGCAATTACTAGATAGAAAACAGAGCTACAAATTGCTGATAATTAGATCCGCAGAATACAAATCATTAGTATTCACCAAATCAGTACACAATTGTATACTCACGCCTTCTTCAGCTTGATCTGCAGTTGATGGTCGTTCAAAGTAGCAACTGCGTAGCAGTTCATCTTCGTCTTCTTCATTTCCGTCATATGTTTGATCATACTGGGCCATGGCTTCCAAAATTTCCTCATCCATGGTGAACAAAATGGTCTGCAAAATATCATGTACCAAAATCACAAATTATAAATCAGTGACCTCTTAGAAATTAAAAACCATTTTACTTGTTTTCCCATGTACAATAGCTTCAGCGTGCTTAGGACAAATCGCCCATGTGAGGTAAACCAAAGGCAGTTTTGGATTTTGGATTCAAGGATTCCAGATTCCTTGAGCTGTATTCCGGATTTTAAGGCCCAGGATTCCGGATTCCACAAGCACAAATTTCCCGGATTGCCACGGAATCAGGATTTCCTTACATAGTGCGAGACAAATAAGCCCCTTGCATAAACCTGTGCAGACATGTGTCCGTATTATGTAAAGGGAAAAGAAAACATGGAATTTCTTACATCACCAAAGGGATCATCTGCGCCCAGGATACCACTAGCCCTGTAAACAAACAGTAAAAGCAATATTGCGTTACCATAAGGAGAACAACAGTGCAATAAATGTTGACATCAGTGTATAAGAGCCTTTTATCGCCTACAGTACAAGAACCACGCCCTACAAGATTCTGGGGGAAGAGAGCCCTGTAAAAGTCCTCTAAAGGGACACTCAATGTGTATGTCTGAACAAATCAAACCTGTCTTGCTTCAAATCAGGTTGAAGGTTGCGAAAAGTTGTTACAAAAAGTAGATCTACTCTCTACTTTCTGCAACAACTTTTTGCAACATTCCACTACCTGATTTGAAGCAAGACAAATTTGATTCGTGCATGGTAAAATGCGTAGAGCACTATATCTGGCAGTAATATATGTCCTGATGGCAATTCATGCTACAGAAAAGATAGAAACCAATAACGGTGGTGGATGTGCATTATTTGTTAAGAACAAATGGCCTAGCAAATGATAGCCTGCGAGAGCATCCGGTTTTTTCGGCTCCAGTTACTAGTTTCACCCGGAGGAAGAGAAGCGACGATCGGAAATACGTCTGCGGTTCGCAGGCTAAGCAAACGAAAAACAGATTTGAAATCTGACTCGTTGGAAAAGGTATGCGTGGAGGTTTGTCCCAATAGTTTTCGCAATAGTTAAATCTTTATCTTTATTAAAGATAAAATGAAAACAAAAATCTAAATCTAATCTAAAAGCTTACCTATTGTATATGCTGTGGTTCAATTTCATCCCAGGTTTAAATTTTGATTTCCTTTGTTTCAAACTCATTATCATATATTACCATACCCAAACACAAAGAAAAATAAAATTTAAACCTGGGATAAAATTGAACCACAACATATATATTAAATATAACATTAAAAAATAAATAAGATGAAGAAAATCTTAAAGGCTCATGCAATTTATTCATTAAATATGCAATTAAATAATCTTTTCTTAAAAACCTTTTTGTGAAAAACCTTCATTCGGAAATGGTAAAACACGAAACATCGCTTTTCAAACCTTCAAATACGATGAACGTTTTGCGAGAAACTCAATTTTAAAAGCCACTTTTCCACTACACCACTAGAGCACAAAGATAACGCCATTTAAATCTAACTATGGCCTCGTCATGAAAAAAAAAACATGACCTACTTTGCTAACGAAACACTACATGATTCGTTGTCATATATCTTAAGTCTGAATTCGTTAACTAGGAGGCCCTTTTGTTTTTTAGAGCTGTCGAAAAGACAAGACAAATTGTCAGTTTAACATTATTTCAACTACCCCAGGCTCACACATTGAAATCGACAAAAGTTTATCAGTTTAAAATTTTCACTCTAACGTTCGAACAAACATCTTGCTTTGATTGTCAAACAGGTCGTATAAAAAAGCCGGTCGAAGTTTTAATATTTGACGTCTAAACATATATTTTCTTCTAACTGAGCTCCAAGGTAAATCCCAAATCTACAATTTATTTCAGACATTCATAGACAAGTCATTTACAGGGAAAAAAAATTAAATGTGTCTTGGTCAAACATTAAATTGGCAGATGTTCTTTTCACGCTTCATGCGACTACAATACTTTTCTCCACAAAGAACACAATATTTTAATCATTGGCCACTCCCCACGAGGCAACATATCCGTTTCTCAGTGACGCTGCCTGTCATAACATGCTCTAGTTTACTGGCTATTCAAACGAACAGAAATTGCAATGAGATATACCGTCCATCAACAGTTTATCTTGGTTTTTAATACGTCGTCTGAGGCTGCCTCTTTTAATCTATTAATCTTTTAATCTCTTCTATTTTTACATTTTTACATACTCTTGGGCTAGTTTGTATATATATAATCATATCTAATTATATTTTTTAATATTTTAATCAGTTTTTAACGATTAGTCCGTTTTAAACTATTTTTTTTAATGCATGTTCTTAGTTTTTTTTTTAGGTTTTTTTTCCAGAAAATAGTTCCTTAAAAAATTTTCCCAAAATCACGATGTTTTTAGGTTTTCCTTAATGTTTGTATTTGCACAATTTTTCAGTCTGTCGAGCGTTTTTAACATGAGCCTCTGGCTCGGAAGATTGTGCAAACACTTCCCACGTCTTCGACATTAAATAAATCATTCATTCATTCATCTTTAAAGATGACTTCTGTTTATGGTGACTCCTCGCACATACAAACGTCACCGATAACTGGATTTTTTGAGGTACTCTGCTGATAAGACAGAAGACGTTCACATTGTTTTGTCAACAATTTCACCTGTGAAACATTTTCATGTTGAAGATTACCACAGAATTCCTTCCCGACAGAAAGGCTGCTAACTTTGTTTCAACTCCGTACAAAATTTCCTCCGTATTTAGCAACGCAATAAAGGTATCACAACTTGGATTTTCTTATCTAAATCCCTTTACAATAATAAGCATCTTACTGAAGATCATTACAGAATTCTTTTCCAAGACAGGAAGGCTATTTATCATGTTTTAACACAAAACAACTTTAGCTAGTTACTTTAACTTACGTCTAAATTTTTGCTTGGTTCGTTCGAATACATGTCGTGTTTTACTTTCGAGGCGGGCAGACATCAACTAACATTTTTCGCGAAAAACTACCACCCGTAGAAAGTAGTAGAACTTGTTTTAGTACACTGGGGCTCCGCCCTAAAGAAATACCTTTTTTAGGCTTCAAATATATGAAAGGGTAAGTATATTTAAAAATTATTCCTCGAGCCCGGAGTAAATAGCCCATGGGGGTGAAGGCCGAATGGGCTATTGACTCAGAGGCCATGAGGGTGAGAGGAATAATTGTTTTAGTAAAATGCAACTAGTTGGTCAAAAATATCGAGACAAAACAACTTTAGCTAGTTAAAGCTAGACTTTAATCCTTTTTTACCGCGAAAAAGCCGGCGCTTTTCGCTACTAGTGGGCTATAACATATAGCCTATTAGTAGCTCAACCAATCAGAACGGACCATTGATAATAGACCACTAGTTAGATTTTACGAAAAAAAGGATAGGGAAATCTGTCATTGCGGTCTGTCATAGGACCTAAAAGGGCTAACAGACGCATTTCATGGCTGTCAAACAGTCAAGAAAACTTCCTGGTTTAGTGATTTATTCATACTTTAAATACAGTGCATTTACAGCAGTTTAAAGGGTATGCACAGTTCTAAATATCATTAGTATGTGTATTTGACTCTTGAAAAATTCAGCTTTTAAATCACGCATAATTTAAAGAAGGATTCATATAAGTTCGGGATAGAATCACAAATGACTCTTCACGTTGTTTAGTTGAGACAGTTTGGCATATACAGTACCAGAGTTCAAAGATTTTCACACGTTTTGGTTAAATTGATCCATTATTATGAATAGTACAGGCTGATAATTGACTTTCACTAATTAAAAATAACAAAAGCGAAAATTTTTTTCTCGTACCTGTACGACATATGTTGCGTTAAACACTCTTTAAAATTGCTTTTTTGTTGATCGCAAGTACTGCTTTAAACGTTAAATCAGATTCAATACGATACGTTATTCTAGTTGAGTGGTAATTTTCGAAGGGCCGCTACTTTTGGGTAGGCCGTTACTTTCGGGATTCAATAGGGAGGTAAAAAGTAACCGCTACTTTCGGGTAGCCCTTATTTTCGGGGTTACCGTTACTTTAGGAATTCTCCGGTAAATCAAGAAGGATTTACAGCATTTTCACTCGAACTTTCTAACGTCTTACGTTGAGCGCCAAACACGGCGTATTAAACGGCCGGTCGAAATTTAAATTAGTTAATGACTAACAAGTAACGTATGATATCAATATTAGTTTTCTTGACGTGGCCATGCGGGCATCATACAACCGTAGGTAATTGTCGTACGAACAGAACTTATCGGTCCAGGGGCCCGTTTCTCGAAAGTCCCGATAATTAACGGGCCCGGTAAGCTGTCTCCGTTTACATTAAAGATCGACGTTTCAATAGTTTTGCATCTAACATGATAAAACTGTCAGTTAATGAAACTAAATGGAATAGTTTGCTAGCCAGGACCCGCCCTCTTATTCTTTATATTTCGATTTGAATTTTCGATTTCGGGCCCGTAAAGTTACCGGGACTTTCGAGAAACGGGCCCCTGATCTTGATTTGTGATACACGAAGTACAAACAGGTTGGAAAACCTCTATCCATTAAACTGCCTGAATGAAACAAACGAGTTCGATAAATTCTTTGTCCAGCGAGCGTGTTTATTTGCTGATAAACTCTCTCTATCTCAGTCTCTAACCCTTACATATTACTGCGCAGATACTATTTGCTGAAGTTCGCTTATACTCTCAACAAAACAAGACCTAGGTTCCTCTTTGCGCCAAGTAAATGCCAAATCTACATAACTTATTCTCTCAAATTGCACGTACAGTACTCCTGAAAGACGAAGACACATTGGAAGGCTAGAAGCAGTTACAGTATACCACTTACAACAATGGATAGATTATATAACTTCCAAAGCCCTCAAATAAAAGTCTATTAAAATGAGAAAATGTCTCTTGGCTTACAAAATTCATATTGGCAGATGTTTTTTTTTTCACACTTCATGAGTCGTCCCCGTTCATGCACAATAATTTCCTCAAAGTACTTTTAATAATTCGACGTATTTCTCGATATCGCCAACAGTAAATAAAGGGATTTAAAGTACAATTTAGCATAACAAGGAAAAGTGAGGACGCTTTAGCTTTAATATTTTGCAGACTATCGTTAGTTATAAACACAATTTCAGACGTACAATATGGAAGATAACAAACCAGGAAAACAACGAACACAAAAAAGGCATTATAAGCGACCTTCTTTTGTCGTAATAACTCCTCAGCTGGGCCATTTTGTATCTGATGTTCGCGTGATATTTGATTTCGGTGATGCCGTACGACTTTAAAAATATACACGTATGCCGCAGTCGTCAACACAAGACCAACAAATAACAATATTGCAGTTGCTACATCATTGCCTCGCGGGATTGAAATGTATATAGAGGCAGAGACGGCGCTTGTTAACCATAGGGATACTAGGGCCAAAGTGACACGTTTTGAAGTGACAAGTTCTTGGTATCGGAGATGGAGGAAAATAGAAAGAAGTCTGTCCACAGCAATGGCGGTTATATTCAGAAATGTCGCAAAACCGGGGAGGGCGATTGCGAAATACAAGGAAAGTAAAATGGTTGGACAGAATGAGTCGAAACCGAGAAAGTCATCAGTCGATGACATTTTTAACATCACTGCAATGACAGCAGCAGTCGCTGGTTGGGACAACATTCCCACGGCGATATCGGAGACGGCAAGGCTCAAAAACATTTTCTTGGCATTGGCGGGTATCGATGAGGCTTTCCACAATGCGTAGATAACTAACAGATTTCCAAGAGCTGCCAGTGGGGAAAACAGCGCGTGCAAAACACAGAGACCTAACGCAAATTCCTTATCAGCTCGAAGAAGTCTTACGAACTGGTCCAACAGTCTAGAGCAAGAGTGGGCAGACATGGCAAACTTTGCTGAACCTATACGACATCGACTGCACACAACTGTCACGTTTTATCCTTTAACCTGCTCCCGCCGATTTTTACAGCTGCACGCAGCTTGTCATAACATGCCCCTAGTTTATTATTATCGATTTTAAAATGAGATATATCCATAAAAAATTCGTAGGGTTCTTAAGACATCTGGAGCAGTTTACTGGCTTGAGATGACTTTTGTTTTCGGTAACTCCTGAAATACGCAAATGTTTACTACTCACTGATGATAAGAAAAAACATGATCATGTATTTATGAAAATGTCATGTTACATTTATCAAGATCCTTTGTTCCACTTATTTAACCGATTTGATGGTGATAATTACCATAGAATTGTTTTCTTACAAGAAGGCTAACCTCGTTTTAACTCGTGAACAAATTTTTTACAATTTGCATCAGGCCGTTTTTTACAAGTAACGTAGAAAAACTATTATTGCAAAAAAAGCAATCCTGATTACAAAATGCGTAGCTTCCAATAATTGCAAAATGTTACAACATTTTAAGGACATGTGTAATGTGTGCAATGATAGAAACTGCGTAAATATATAGAATGCAGTAACCCTTACTAAAAAAGTGTCTTGTTATTGAAAATGCAACAGAACTTGAGTATTGTCATCGAAAAAAACCCGAGGATGTATCTTCGAAAGGAATTAATTTCAACAAAAAAATTACGAAATATATGAAAGACGCTAGACTCGCAAGCGGTTCTGGGTAATTGATCAAGGGCTCAAAAAGACGGATCAAACGTTTCGGTTGGTATGTGACGAGCGCGTTTAGTCATAAATAAAGATTGGTAATTAGTAATTGCAGACTTTGTAGGACGAGACGCCGAGACTAACCCTTTGTCTTACGCCTGAGCCCAATACTTTTTAACCTTATGAATTACGAGACGGAGAGAGGAGTCTCCAAGGCAGTGTCGCCATTTCATGTCCCCCTTCGCTGCAGGGTATGAAATGGTGCCTAAATTTCCCACGATGGCGACCAAACACCTGAAAATTAGCCGACAAACTGGCGCCCAGAATTCCTCATCACAGTTTTTTGAAGACCTTGTCGATATTTGTAATTGGTGAAAAAGATATTTGCAGCTTTAAAGATAAGCGATACAGTACCTTGCAATCTCTCCGTGGAATATCAGGCTCTCGTCCAGGGTGATATCAACACACCGCACTCCTCGAAAAGAATGGATTCTTGATTTATTGTAATTCTAACAAGAGAAAAGTGATGATCATTGTGTCAGGGGGCTGATTAACAATATAATAGAAAACTATAACAATGATGCAAGTTGTTCTCTTGGTGGCTACAAATGGTCAGACGTAATGTAATGAAGGATTAACTGTGGAGAGTTTATAGTTTGTGGCAAAAGCAAAATATATTTAAAATAACAATAATAATAATAATAATAATAATAAATAACAGAAAATAATAATTTATCAACGATAATGGTAATAATAATAATGAAAATGAAAATAATTATGATAATGATTATGATAATGATCATGATAATAATTATGATAATGATTACGATAATTGTTATGATAATGATAATGACGATTTTGATAATGATTATGATAATGATAGAAATAAAGATAGTGATTATGATAATGAAAATGATAAACATTGTAATTATGATAATGATAACGACAATGATAATAATCATGATTAAGATAATGATAATGATTATGATTTTGATAATCAGAGGCCTTAGGCCTCTCACAGGTTATGAAAGGGTTTAAAAGTACAATTTCTCCAAAATGCGGGCCGACCTGCACCTATTCCGAACAAGGTTTGTGATTGGCTGGGAAAACAATAGGGATGGTGACATAACGATGCCTCTATCCCTGAAAACAAAAGGGAGTGCAGGTTATAGGGACCAATGAAATAAGACGTTTGGATGGGTGCAGGTCAACCACAAAATGCCAGATACTGTTCACCAAGTGAACGGCCTCGCCATACAGTTTTGACAAATGGTGCACAAGAACAAACGCAAAGGATAAGTATCACTTTGGTCTAACGAATAAAAAGAAATAATGATACCCATATTCTGATCATGGCGATTCTTAGGCTTTCTGCAAGAGTGATGGTGATGGTGTGTTTGCCTCCTGGTGTAAATGGTGCTAACCACAGGTGCATGTCATCCCTGATAAATGAAAAAAAATAATCGTCTTTAAAGTGATGATGAACGGGACGATTCGCAACGAGATTTATAGCGCAACACAGCGTTGCAATGTTGGAACAATTCGAAACAATGAAGCAAAAATGTTGCAAGGCTGTGTTTTATCAAACTTCAAACAGTGGGAACTACAACCAACCTGACGAACAGTAAGGGTGATGTTAGGCGGGACAATTCGCGACGACGATTTTTAGCGCAACACAGTGTTGCTACGACATTGTTTCGAATAGTTACAACATTGTTCCAACATTGCAACGATGTGTAGCGCTAAAAATCGTTGTTGCGAATCGTCTAGCGTAACATCACCTTAAAGGAGCGGTGTAACTAAATTTGTCAAAATTCAAACAGTCGGAAATGCCACCAAACTGACGAAAAGTGACGCAGTTTCCCAGAAACGTATAAACTGCCCACCTACCCCTCCCTAAAGCCAACATTTTGCCCTAAGAGAAAGTAAGTGTTAATGTTGACTTGGGGGAGGGGGAGGGGTAGATGGGTAGTTTCCCAGAAACGTATAATGATCCGATCCACAGTAACCGCTCAAAACATGAAAAGAATGTGTAAATAACACAGCAAATACAAACGAGGGCACGGATGGACAAACTTGAAAAAGATTGAAACGGATTGCGATTGTGGTTTTTGAAAACTTGTAAGCTTAACAGTTTTTCAAAGTTCATTTTTGTTGTTTGTAAGGTTTCATATGAGACAGGAGACATATTTGTTTGACACAAAGCTGTGATTTTGTCATTGACAAGTGATTTCTCAAGTTCCATAGCGAATAAGGACGCATAATTGGGACTATTAACCCTTAAGGTCCCAAGCGTGACCAACATCAATTTTCTCCTAACAACATCAGCAGATCATCAAGAGTAAAGGTTATGAGAATTACTGAACTGATTACCAAAGGGAGAACGCTTTGATCTTAAACCAAATTCTCTCAACTGTTCTTAAAAGAAATGTATGGAGATCAGTCTGGAGAATTTGAATGTGGATGTTGGAGCTCTTAAAAAGGGTTAACAAAAAGAACTAGATAGTCGTGACGCAGCTCTTTTAAATTAATTTTTTTCCAGTTGAATGTGGACAGTCAGTGTGTGTAAAATATCGTAGTCATTTCATACCTGGTCCGATAAACTCCGTCAATTAGATTGGTTACTACTCTAGGGTCATTTCCATACTCTGGAAGAACATTAATGTCTGGCGGATCAGCAGTAATCTGAGGGGAAAAAACAATCCATTCTTAATCAACATGTTGAAATTAGTGCAAATTTATTGCTTTAACTTGAAACGGTTTTCACCTGACGACCGAGAAAACAAACCCAAGGAAAATACGTTGGCCAATCAGACAACTTCATGAACCAATCAGAACACGAAGAAAGCACGGGAAAACGTGTGTGAGCAAGTCATAACTTGTTCTAGAAAACGAAATACGTTAGGCATTCACATTTGACACACACCACTTAATGAACCAATCAGCACGCCAAGAAAGCGCGGGAAAACGAGTGTGAGCAAACCAAGTTGACTCTACTGAAACGTTGGATGTCAAAAGTAAAGACACGGCGCAGTTGTAGTTACCTTAGATTGGCCTTAAGGGAGGCTTAAGGAATAAGCGCAGCACCTCACTTTTACAATATCACTTACCTCTACGATTTCTGCAGGTTTTCCACAGTCTGTGAACACTTCAATACCATTGAGCCCAACATAATGCCTATCTCCCCACGTGTTCCTGATGTTAATAACCAGCTGTTTTCCTTTGGGAAGTGTGGGGATTTCCAAATCAATTAAGCCACTGAAAAGTAAATCAGCTTATTAAAGCAACGCGCAGCTAAGCGTCTATGCTACTAAATTTCGCGCTTGTTTTGTTTCATGTGCGCGCGCTTTATTTAACTGATGTGTGGATTTGTCTCATTATTTAACGCATTACATTTTCTTTAGACTGTTTTCCTACTATTATGCCTTGCCACTAACTGCGTTCAGATTGTGGGTGACTCCTCTTAAAATATGCTATAATTGGTACAGGATTTAAGGGTGCCGGGACCAAATGAAGAGATGAAAACATTTTAGACATCCCACTGATGAACATTTATGACTAAAAAGTATTTCGGTTAACAGAAATTTGCCGTCTGTGCCCTTTGAATTTTCAAGAGCCCCGCTTCCTCTCTAATAGCTTCTTTGGTCTGATATCTACCTCTCACTCCTACGTGACGTATGTCCCAACGTAAAGAATACGCAGTTACAATAGAGAGTTTAAGCAAAGACGTTTTTGAGCGACGCAAGTCCACCAGAAGTGAGGCCTTTTCCCTATTAATGAGCGTTGACTTTACCAAATTTGCACTGCTCAGTATCTTCGCTCATAAAGGCACGTATTCCCAAAAAAATTAGAAAAAACAATTAGGTAAAACCGCCCAAAAATGGGAAAAGTCTACTTCCGGTTAACATGCATGGCCGGCTCTATAACGTCTTTGCTTGCTTGGGGAACACTTCTCCGTGAACGATCTGATCTGCCCTTGCAGTGTATAACACCCAGGGCTCAAATAGGTGAATTTTTCGCCTCATTCTTAACAAATGCATATCATTCTGTGTTCACATCTATGAATAAAAAGTTGAGCTCGATAAACCGAACATTCTCAGGCGAATGGTACTTCCAACCATTCTTTTAAGACGTTAGCCCAAAGAATTGGACATGACCTTGCCCAGTACCTAGGCCTCATTATTGTGCACGGGCGAAGCTTTTCGAGTCACATGGTCCGAGCGAGTTTTTGTTCGTCCGGGATACGTCACCACAATGCATTAACCGAGACGGCCTGGGAAGACGCAGTACAGGCACTAGGCAAGACATGACCGATACAGTCAATTGTAACTTAAAAATTTCCCAGCCTGAACAATAACTGACCTCTCGTCCGATTTGTTGGTCTGTCCTACCACCGACTCCAAGGTTTCTTCTTTTCTGCACAACAATACATCGAGGGCATCACCTGAGAAAAGAAAATCATCCAAGGTCCACTTTCACAGGAACTCCAGTTAAGAGATTAGGCACATATAATACCAAGTGATTCACTTAGTTTGAATTAAAGAGGCAAGTAATTTCGTGAATGTTTTGTGTTGCGTATTGCTAAGTTTGTGACTGTCTCACAAATGTTAAATTACTTTGTCGACCAATAAGAGGCAACTTGCTAGCGAACGTTTTCCCGCGGTTGTCGCCTGATGTGCGCGATTGCTTTGAATTCTGATTGGTTCCTTGGATTGTCTGCCCTGATGTAAGTCACGTGATCTACTTAATCGACCAATAAGAGGCAACTTGCTCAACCTTAATACTTGCTGTCTGCGATTTTTTAATTATAATTGGTTCCTTGGATTGCGTGCCCTCTTGTAAGTCATGTGATCTACTTTATCGACCAATAAGAAGCAACTTGCTGGTGAAAGTTTTCCCGCGCTAAGCGCTTGCTCTTGCGATTACTTTGAATTCTTATTGGTTCCTTTGGAGTGTATGCCCTTGTTGTGAGTTACGTGATTAACCAGACTAGTTTATCTGTATTCATTTTGATTTTACGATGCCCAGTTGAAAACCTTCCAATTGGACGATACTTTGACTTACCATGGCGTGACAGATCAAGGTCCTTTGTGATGCGGCCTTTCTGCGACTTTTCAAATAAGCTGAGTAAACTCCACGATTCTTCTAAACTCAAGTTCTGCTGCCTACAAAAATTGGCGCAAAAAGCAGTTTATCTTCTTATTGTCAACTGGGCCTGATCACAGACCATCTACCTTCTCTTTAGAGACCGTGGGGTGTGTATTGCTTTGTTCATTTTTTCTCGCGTTTTACGCTCGTTCTCACACGCACGCTTTACTCGCACGCTCGACAAAAAACCGTGCACGGATAGGCTATGTCGACTAGAACCCTTACTTTCTTACCCTCATAAATCTTCGACTCAGCGCATTGGAACTGAAAAAGCATCCCACTTCCAAATAAGCACCTGAACTCAGCTAAAAATGAAAAATTAACGATCTAGCCTGCGGATTTTGGCCTACTTCCAACGTCTTTTTTTAGAGGCACAGCTAATAATAAGCCTGAGGTTCAGAATGAGCCTCCACCACGCCTTATCCCATTAAGAGGGGCACTCAGGGTAGTAGGTCAAGTATGACAGACGGAATTAGGAGAAGAGATTCAGATTTCGATATTAGTACATGTATTGCATACTTTCGCCACGTAGCTCTGGCTGTCTTAGCGTCATGAGATGAAGTGGTTTCATCTTTAGCAGGGTCGCTAACTTCTTTAATTTCCTCGTGTCTCCTTCCTAACCCACTCTGACTTCTTTTCTCCTGCAACAACAAGTATTCAAAATACTATCAGGAGAGAAAGCTTTACTTTTCAGTCACACAGTGTAATTCTCCATGCCTCTCGCATGGACGAGGACGACTATTCGAGCGAGATTTTCTCAATACTAAGTGGTGCGCGTGCGTGAACAAGCTAATCTCGAGCCCAGATCTCTTGACGAGGAGGCCTTCGGCTACGTTGACAAGAGATCTGGTAAAGAGATTATAAACCACCGTTATTTTTGGATGAAAACGGGATAGCCTTCTTAATTTTACAACGGGTTTTAGCGAAAATGTTGAAGTGGCGGAAAAAAGTTATCAAATGTAAGAAGTTCTATCATTTTGCGATCGGGAGAGGGCTTAAACTCCTTTATCAAAAATAACCGTGTTAACTATTCTCATAGATAAAGTAAAATGTGAGGTGGGTGTCTATTTTTCGAGAATATGCGAAGACAACTTCAAGTCAAATCTCGTTATCTAATAGTGCCGTCCTCGGTGTACACGATCATTCAAATGGCCAGTTTCTGACCAAGTCATTCGCATTTCGTACCCCTGGTTCCACACTCTATTATCTTAATACAACCAAGTATTTAAGCAAGCAAGCAAGTTTCGATTGGTGCTTCTAAACAAGGAACGATTGATTTTACTTACAAATCGCCTGGTTGAAAAAACTGCGCACTTTTCCTGCGCACTTATGAGTCTTTTTAAAAGCATTAACCGCTGCTATTAAATCTTGTCAGCACAGGCAATTTTCAAAACCAAGTGTGCGCGCTTAATGTGAAAACAGTGATGTGTACGCTAGCAAGAAAACTAGCCAAGAACAAAAGAAGTAGGGATGAAGAGGGGAAAGAAAGACAAAGAGAGAACTTACTGTATGTTCGGTTGTGTCATCCAGACATGTGGGTAAGGCTTCATCCCTGTATTCGATAGAAGATAAAACACTGAACGTAAAGAAAACGTTCTTTCATACTAAGTCAATAGACCTTTCCTGCATTCCAGTAAACAAACGCATCAAGTCGAGGCTCGGGTGAACAAAATACAGTGATTTGTAGGAAATTGTCCACCCGAGCCTCCTCCTTATTTCTTTATAATTATTTGCTCACTAGAGCGTAATGCGGGAAAGGTCTATAGCTCACTTCGGAAAAGAGTGTGAACCTGGGACCCAAACTAAGCGCGCGCTCATTTATGGGATTGTTTTGGGGGACAAGTCGAGCAGTCACCTTGAATTATGACGAGACATTTTGTCGCAAGTTGTTTTGTGCACCAGTAACTTCAGGAACTTCCCGGTCCGCGCGTACTTACCTTTATACGAGCTGCGTTTTCTTTCCCGTTGTTTTGGCTCCACGGCAAAGAACCCATCTCTGAAGCTGTTTCACGGTGTATTCTCCTGGTTTTTCTCGGGGTAAAATTCTCCCAGGTACATTTTTCCCTTCAGCTTCACATTTTTGTTCTTTTTTCTTTCAATTCTACCTTCCGTTTTGCTATATTGAGCTCCTTTAACAACGCTGAAACATTCCACTTCGCTTTCCGCCATTTTTGTTTACATTCGCGTCCCTCCAAATAATCCCTTAACCGTGCGCGCGCCTAGATTGGGTCCCAGGCCATCACTCTTTTCCGAAGTGAGCTATAGGCCATTTGCACAAGGACGTCATTTTACTTCTATGAACAGAATCCTCCAGGGTTTTGCTTTCTTGTGCAAATTGGGGCTTTTGTTATTTAAACCTCATTGGGATTATCAAATTTAAATATGAAAGGAAAAGCGAAAAGATTCTGCTCGTTAGCAAAATGTCGCCATCATGCAAATGGCCTGTTAGAAAGCATATCATTTTATGTGGCCAATCAAGAATTACATGAAAAAAACTGCAAATCAAATCAAGAGACAAACAAACAAAACAAACACACGCACGCAGATAAACAGTCGAGATTTTCTTAACTAACAATTTCCAAACTTCTTTGAGAAAGGCATTTTACTTACTTGCTGACAAATTCACTCGGCCAAGGCTCTGCCGCTTCATTGCTGACACTGGGGGTACTGGATCTACGCCCAGTCGATGGTTCATTCCTGAAGAGATCTGATGAACTCCGCACATCTGTTGCACTACTACTTCTTTCTTCCACAACAGCTATAGAAAAAGAATTGAACACTGTTAAAGCAAGTTGGGATTTCCAACTCTGTCGCTCGGTCACGCTGCCTCCACTAGTTCAAGTACAATTCTATAAGCTATGCTTTTCAATATTCGAACGCCTGAAACAGCAAATGCTACTGGACAAGCTCGTTTAACACTCAAAAGATGATTTCATCTGAGTTACGCGTGGTAATTCTTACCAAGATTTACTAGGGCAAACTTGGCAAGAATCCTCCCGTAATAAATCTTTCCAAGATTCTTGCCATGATTCCTGTCGAAAATCTTACCAAGATTCTTGCCAAGATTCCTGTAGTAAATCTTGCCAAGATTCTTCCCAAGATTCTCGTAGTAATTCTTAACAAGATTATTGCCAAGATTCCAGTATTGAAAACTGTTCTACCGTACGTTGTTTCAACAGGCTTATCGTTGTTTTTATATCCTAATGAAACACTCTCCTCGTGTTTAACAAGTTGCTCAACGGGTGTGATTTTGAAAAAGAATGTGCGCATTCGTAAAGTACCACTTATTACGCTAGGCAAGACTGTTTCAACTTGAGAGTCTGTGGGAACTCTTAAAGTTTGACCAGGCAAATGGTGACTGCAGAGCAGCATTTTCCTGCGGTAGTGGTTACCTTACAATATTAACCTGAACGGCCACTTTTCAACTTCATTCGTGTAATCGTACATTTATTCCAAATTAATGCAATACAAAACCCAACTAAAAGAGGTGAAAAAGGAACCAAAAATGCTATCACTATCAGGGGTACAAATCATGTGAAAACTATTTATCTGTAACTTAAAGGTAACTGTTAGTCTGAGAAAACAGCCAACATCTGGCGACGCCACCACTTGTTTTCCCACGAAATGACCGCTGAGGAACGATCTGGGTAGTGCCTCTGATTGGCTGAGCAAATTTCCCTCACGACACGACAAATCAGAAGTACTACCCAGAACTGGGTAGTGAAACGTCATCACTATGGAATTTCTGCGTTTGTTCCTCAGAAGTCTTTTTGAGGGGAAAGCAAACGTGGTGTCGCGAAATGTAGGCTGTTTTCTCACGCTATCAGTTGTTAACTTCACGTTACAGATAAATACTTTGCTTTCTCAAGCTAATTTAATACTGTCCACTTACCTGTCTCATCCTCAAGCCAGATAGGTCTGGATTTGGACCGTGAAGAAGAGCGCGATGGAGAACTAGCAAGAAAACGAAACAAGAATTGACCTTTTAAGATGAAAAAAAGCTTCAAAGCTGAGTTGTAGTTTGGTCCGTTGAGTCGCTTTATCGAGTCTCAGGAATACATATATGACCTGAGTTTCAGGCTAAGGTTTCAGTTAGTAATTGGGAGCTTAAGCAAAGGCGTTTTAAGGCGACGCACGTCAACCGGAAATTGAGGCCTTTTCCCTTTTAATTTGTCTTGACGATTCCAAATTTGTCCTGCTTCCGGTTGACGTGTGTCGCACAAAAACGTCTTTACTCCCAGTTGTTACCCTTAAACCATCTTTTCGACTTCTTTCCTTTTTGTGTAGCTTTAAAAAAATACGTAAAACGGAGAACTGATGGAGAGAGGGGAGGGGAGAGGGGGGTAGATGAGCTCATAGTCGGCCCCAGTTTGGTAAGTTTACATGTGAGTACAGTTACGAGTTACCGACGTAACATAAGGTGCGTCATCTTACCTATGTTTGTCTTTTTTCTTACTTGACTCCAACCAGGGCGGTCTGCTTGGTAACACAGAACCAGCAGCAGAGTTACCTCTGACAGAAAAGAAAAATTCGAATACATGTAGAAGGTGATTGGTCAAACAAAACTGAATCACAACATATATACGCACAATCCAAGAAGCATCGTGTGGCCGGCACAAAAGCGCGGGAAAAAGGGGATCTGCAAAGGACAATTAGTTTGGTTCTACATATGATTGGCCGAAAATGCGGTGCGAATTTCTTTTAGCCAATGGTAACAATGCAGTTGCGAATCAATAGCGATATTCAACATGACGTTTAACATGTCATTCAAAGGCGAACAACTCTAACATACGAACAGCCTTTTTACCTTAAAGAATCATTAGTCGGCTCTGAACTCTCAAGGGCTTGAGAAGATGAAAGGTTTGGAGTTGATGAAGACCTGAAGACGAGCAAAGCACCACAAATACAAATATGGTCATCACATCAGACAGTAGGAAAAAAACGAAAGTACAATAGAGAAATGTAGAGGATAAACACCCAAAATGTAAAGTACAGCAGGCTTCAGAAAGGCGTTTATCTTATTTTGAAGAGGAGGGGTACAGTGAAATCGATTTTAATGTTGAAATCACAAGGAAACAACGAAACTAACGACTGAAATGGACAAACGCAACGAGTTCTTTACGACTATAAAGAGTTCCATAATGGCAGTTCTGTTCACATTTGTTCATCTGATCTGCTCTCTTTGCGCATGCACCATAAGGCATGCGCTGTTTTACCCATTAGCGGGCTCAACTGTTAGGTTGTCAGATTCCGTAGGCACAGTTTCATTTTATTTTTTAAAGCCCTGCGAAAACGAAAGCAAATCAACGCAAGCCTTTTAAAACACTCCTGGTCGAAAGGGAACAAACAGACTGAAGAGAGAACCCAGATAACAAAACTCAGCTTAAAAATTGGCTTAACCCTGGCTTAAACGTAACCGTCTTTCGAGCTGCTGGCCCCAAAGATTTCCTACCTGGTAGACAAGGCTAAACGATCACTACGTCTTATGGATGACGATTCTGATGCCAAAAGACTCTTCAAGGCTTTTTCTTTTAATCTACAAAGAGACCAAACACAAACAGTTTGGAGTTTTTTACCTTATTGTACGATGACTATAACAGCTGTAGTAGAATGGTAATTGAAGGAAGCGTAACGTGGTGACTTTTTTTATTAAAAGCCAAGGTAACCACAAGGGGAGACGGGGTCAACAGCACAGTATCACCAAATGCGATGCTACGCTACTTTTTACCTGTCTTTTTCTACCATATGTTCAGTTGACAGTTTATTCTCGTCGGCTGACGCCTTTCTTTGGGAAAATCTAGGTGATCGGGAATGTGTTCTAGGCGATTCTGGAGGCTTTGGGATTTTGTGAGGCTCCTCTGAGCGAATGTGTTCTTTATCTCCTCTGGAAGAAGAAAAGGAGGTAAACAATATTAATCTAAACGAAGTGGAGCCGATCGAGAATGGTCTTTTTGGTTTCTGGGGTGAAGGTGTTTTCCTAGAAATACAAAGCGTCTATGGTGCGGTAAAACGGGGCAACAAAAACGTGCAAATTGTTTTGCAACATTGCCGCAAAACGAGTTGAATAGCGACGTCGCGCGTTTTGCTAGCCACGTTCAAAACTGTCTTGCAACAACTCAAGTTAGGCAGGTTGCGAAAATTTGTTGCAGAAAGTGCCTGTAGAGAGTAGTTCTAATTTTTGCAACAAAATCTGTACATGATGCGCGTTTTACCGGCCCAAGGCAAACTTGTTGTGCAGCTAGTGATGTAAAACTCCCGTGTACGGCGTGACTCCCGCGTAATTTGATCCAATAAAAAGTCAGTATTCACTCAACTTGCAACGACCTGGGCCCTGTTTCTCGAAACGCCCGGAAACTTTCGGGCCCGGGGGCAAATTTTAAAATCAAAAGCACAGTTCCTTGCCCACAAACCAGTCGATTTTGCATCGTTCAGTAATAGTTTCATTGCATTATTTTCAAAATTATTGAAACTTTCATCTTGAATGAAAACAGAGCAACACAAAACAGCTTCCGCGCCCGAAAAGGTACCGAGACTTTCGAGAAACGGGCCCCTGATTTGTTGCAAGACAGGTTCGATTTGTGGTGGTAAAACGCGCAACATCGTTATTCAAATCGTTTTGCAGCGATGTTACAAAACGAGTTGCACATTTTTGTTACCCGTTTTACCGTAGACACTTAAGGCCAGTTATTTAAACGGAGTTTAGCCAGTGTTTAACAACACCGCGTTCTAAGCCATTTTCAATTTGCCTAAAGGAAAAGAGAAGCCTAAAGGAAGAGATCTTGAGCTGCAAAGATTTGTTAAACCGCGGCTTAAGTTAGGCTTCGTTTAAATAATCGACCCTTAATCTTTACAAATTTGAGTGGATATTTACAGGACAATCTTGACTGATTAATACTCTCCAGGCCCTAAAAATGCAACAAGATAAGCCCAAGAATTGTAGAGTCGTAAAAATTGATCCGTTCTCTGAAAACGCTTTCTTTTTTTAACTTAGTTACTCCAGTTTACCTTAAAACCCTGTCTGTAAGCTTTGAACTGCTATGCGTTGCATCCTGTTCATCAACAAAATAGTTCCTCTGAGCTGTCTGTTTTAACAGTACTGTTTTGCTCCTTGCATGAGACTGATCTTGCTCTACTTGTGTAGGTACAGCAGGGTCCTTAGGACTGTCTTTAGGCACTGTCTCTGGTTCACTTGATCTTCTCAATACAACAGTTTCGCTTCTTATTATAGGCTCTGGCTCCTACATCAAATGAACAAATAAATAACAAAATAAATAAATATGGATTTAGAGGTTGCCAACATCCACATAATGGTTCATCGTCTACCATTCCTAATTAAATTGGAATTTGGAAAAGTCGGGCCACAATTGGTGGGAGACGAGTGCTCTCGCCACTGTGCTACCATTGCTCCTCAAACAAGAAACACTTCTTATCTTACCCTTACAAGAAGTCTATGTTTACCCTTCATCTTCAACATAAAATAACCCAGGGCTGGGATATGTAGCACATACATGAAGTCTAGCGGGTATTTTATACGTAAGCACTTCGAAATCGTGGTATTTCAATAAAGCTTTCCTTTCCATTTCCATTATTTCCAACTACCAAATATATTCTTAGTTACTTATTGGTGTAGTTGTGTCTACTGGCGGGGAAAAAATCTTGCTTTCGACTTTTTGTCATGGTGTATAACAATCAACCTTAGAGCTACTCAACAATTTCCCTCTCCACATTGGTGCCAACACATCAGAGCAAAAAACATAACTAATATGTGTTTAAGAGGTAGAGGAACCCATATCACTTGTGATACGAGTTTCCCACGAAAGGGAACACGTATCACTAGGGAAATGTGTTTACCGAGTAGAGGAACACATATCACTAAAGATATGTGTTTCCCAGTTAGGGGGACACATATCACTAGGAATATCCGTTTCCCAGGAAGGGCAACCCAAATCACAAGGGATATATGTTTCCCAGGTAAGGCGAACAAATATCACTGAAATAGGAATATGCGTTTCCTAGGTAAGGGAACACATATTACTAAGGATATGTGTTTCAAAGGTAGGGAAACACAGATCACTAGGGATATGTGTTTCCCGGGTAGGGGAACACATATCACTAGGGATATGTGTTTACCGTGTTTCCCAGGTAGGGGAAGACATATCACTAGGGATATGTGTTTCCCAGGTAGGGGAACACATATCACAAGGGATATGTGTTTCCCAGGTGGGGGAACACATATCACTAGGGATATGTGTTTCCCAGATAGGGGAACACAGATCACTAGGGATATGTGTTTCCCAGGTGGGGAAACACATATCACTAGGAATATGTGTTTCCCAGGTGGGGGAACAAATATCACTAGAGATATGTGTTTCCCAGGTGGGGGAACACATATCACTAGGAATATGTGTTTCCCAGGTGGAGGAACACATATCACTAGGGATATGTTTCCCAGGTAGGGGAACACATATCACTAGGGGTATGTGTTTCCTAGGTAGGGAACACATATCGCTAGGAATATGTGTTTCCCAGGAAGGGGAACACATATCACTAAGGATATGCGTTTCCCAGGTAGGGGAACACATATCACTAGGGATATGTGTTTCCCAGGTGGGGGAACACATATCACTAGGGACATGTGTTTCTCGGGTAGAGGAACACATATCACTAGGGATATGTGTTTCCCAGGTAGGGGAACACTTATCACTTGGGATATGTGTTTCCCAGGTGGGAAAAACCCATGTCATTAGAAATATGTGTTTCCCAGGTGGGGGAACACATATCACTAGGGATATGTGTTTCCCAGGTGGGGGAACACATATCACTAGGGATATGTGTTTCCGGGGTAGGGGAACACATATCACTAGGGAAATGTGTTTTCCAGGTGGGGGAACACATATCACTAGGGATATGTGTTTCCCAGGTGGGGGAACACATACCACTAGGGATATGTGTTTCCGAGGTGGGGGAACACATATCACTAGGGATATGTGTTTCCCAGGTGGGGGAACACATATCACTAGGGATATGTGTTTCCCAGGTAGGGGAACACATATCACTAGGGATATGTGTTTCCCAGGTGGGGGAACACATATCACTAGGGATATGTGTTTCCCAGGTGGGGGAACACATATCACTAGGGATATGTGTTTCCCAGGTAGGGGAACACATATCACTAGGGATATGTGTTTCCTAGGTAGGGGAACACATATCACTAGGGATATGTGTTTCCCAGGTAGGGGAACACATATCACAGATCAGGTTGTTGCAGGTTACGATAACGTTGTTGCGGAAAGTAGAGAGTAATAACAAAATCTGTACATGTGGCGCGTTGTATCGAACCAGGGCAAACTTTTTTTGAAGCAAGTGATGAGAACTCCCGTGAATGGCATGCCTCCCGCATAATTTTATCCAATCAGAAGTCAGCATTCACCCAACTTGTAACAACCTCATTTGTCAGGGGACAGGTTTAAATGTGGGTGGTAAACGAGTATTGCAGCAATGTTTCGAAAGAATTTTTTTTGCCGTAGCTTTACAAATGAAAGGCTGGAAACAAAGGCAGCAACTTCTCTCTTATTCTCAATTAGAAAGCCACAGAACAGAAAAAAAAAGTGAAGTTAAGTTCAAACCTGCGGTACGTCTTTTTCTTCTTCAGCAAGATGCTCTGTGCTTGTGAGATTGATGACTTTGGAGTAATCAAACACTTGGTTCCCGCAGCCCTAAAGAAAAGCAACAATCAATTTCATAAAACTTCTTACTTGCGCTGTATTATGTAATAACGAAGTATTGCTAGACGCTAGCAAACCTGATAGCTCTTAAAATCTACGCTGCAAATACAGTCTCCTCCAGTAAATGGAACGTTATTACTCCGTTTCCCCGGCAGCTCCTAATTCAATAGGGTAAGGATATTCACAGGCCAATGACAGGCCTTGCTGCAAACGATGCAGACGACCCAGGGTTGGAAATAAACCTTGGGCACAGGCGTTTTGGAGCGACGCACGTCAACCGGAAGTGAGACCTTGTCCATTCTAATGTGCCTTGACGTAACCGAATTTGTATTGCTAAGTGTCTTTACTCGTATAGAGACGACTTGCCTAAAATTCTGGGCAAGACCAAATCGCCCAAGAACTCAAAATGTGCCTCGCTCAAAACGTCTTAGCTCAAGATTCCTAATAAGGAGTCTTACAGTCCTATATTTTGCTTGGTCTCTATCAGCTTTTGCTCTATTGTTATCAAGGAGTGTAAATCACCTACCCCTCCCCCTCCCCTACATGTCCACAACGAATTCTTCACTATCTGTCCATCTGGCTCAGTTCTCACCTTATCAATAACTCCTTCCCATACAAGCTCTCCTCCAACAAATATTCGAACATCCTTAGCTCCTACGTTCAACTCCTGATGGAAGAAATTCATCTGAAAGTTAGCACATGATAAACTATCAGAAACGTTATCAGATTCTGACGTTAATAGAGTCCTTTCCTACCCTGGGTGCCAGAGACGTTTTTAACGCGGTTTCCGTTTTCTGTCAAGTCTTTATAGTTACCCGCGCGAAAAGCCTTTCTCGCAGCTTCGGCCTACGGCCGAAGGGCCGAAGATGTGTCGGCCTTCGGCCAACACCGAAAATACAGAAACCCCTTGTACCCAGGGTAGTCCTCTCCAAACCATGTTTTTCTTTCCGATTCATACGGTATGTCTAGTTCCAACCTCCCAGTGGCACTATAACCCTGTGAACCACAAACATTTTTCAATCTGTTGGCAGCCGGTCTACTCACAAAAAATAGGGAGCTTAACCAACGACGACGACGATGGCAGTGAAAAAGTTGCTAAAAAATAAATTTGCGTCCTTCCAAACTTTATAGAGTCTATTTGGACCCGCTCAATTTGTCAAGTGTAAGCGATTTTTCCTGGAGTTCAATTCTTAAGGACTTTCACCAGGTTCAAAAAGAGAAAGGAAAATTCGTCATCGTATGTTTACGTCCTCCATAAAACGTCGCTTTAGGAGGTATTTTTACCATAGTCGTGCAGAGGACATCAAAGAAATGTAGTAACAAGCGTGCTGTTATTTGCGCATAAACCAATTGTTTTTTGACGTTGTCGTTGTCTTCGTAGTTATGGTTGCTTAAGCTCCCTAATACCTTTCAAGCTGGACAAGGCTTATGGGACTTTTACGAAATGCAGGTTTGATTTGCTTACTCACCTTAATTCCCCTATTATAGTTCCATACAGTTATTTTAGAAAGTCCGTGAGACTCAGAACTCAGAGCTGCAGTACTGGGCAAGTGAAAGACTAATTCCACTGGACGCTTGTTTTTGAAGCCACATGACCACATATAGCGACCCTTGGTTGTCTAGCAATACAGACAATAGATAAAAGGTTACTTCAGGGCGCTTATTTCACAAATTATCGTTCGCCGCCAAGATAAAAAGCCGCATTATACTATGCTCGTCTGGCTAAAATGTACAAAGGATGAGTTCTGCTGACTACGCAAGAGATCACTGGCTTTTTTTTAGTTTTAGTTTTTGCGGGCGACAAGAGGAGACCACAATCCTAATCTCCAGGTTGTTAATACGCATGCGTCGCATGTATGTAGCCAGCATTTCTTTGGACTTCACGCGCGCTTGGACTTTCTATAAGCACAGCATTAGAACAAAAGCATTTTGAACTTCGATCATTGTCGCCCGCACTCTGAAACCTTTGGTTATTACTAGTTGTTAGACTAAGTAAATGTTCCTACAAAGGGGCATCTTTCATAAGTCACTCTCCAACTTAGTACTGTTACTTTCAATCTATGTGTAATGCTCAAGCAAATGAAATCTCTCCATATTACTTATATCAATATTTTCTGAGCTCTAGATTTACATAATTTCAGAACAAAACTCGTTTGGGGTGTCAACGTGAAGGGAAAAGGTATTAAAAGCCACTTTCAGTGGTGTGAAATATTTTTTTGGCGGGGGGAAGGGGAAGGGGGGCGGCTCATAGGAGTTTTGACTGAACCAATGAAAGTTCTGCAATGCGTACCTTTGTTTTGCCATTGGCCAGGTTACCAAGATCACCCTCCTCTCCATCACACCCTGAGATACTGACATGGTGTCTATCATATGGAATAAGATTCCCTTCTAAATCGAAGAACTGGATCTGTGGAATAAAAGAAGTTCAAATAAATTTTGAATCTGAAGAAGAAACTGTGTATAGAGAGTTAACACATGACGTCACGTCAGCCATATTGGAGTCCTACAACAACGAAACGGCGGACATTTTGTTGTTCCAAACCAATCCGGTGTAGTTAAACCTTTCCCTGTGTAAAAAGGTTTTTTTTGTTCCAATAAATTTGCATAGCTGTAGGCCACGTCAGTGAAAACGCTCTATTGTAACATGTTAACAATTCTGTAACGAATATTCACAAGCTAAGTGACCACTTTACGTCGGATAGTACCTCAGTTAGCCCAAGATAGTTTGGGTTTCCCCAGTTTGTAAGAATCTCAAAGTAGACGTCTGTTCCTTCATCTTCTTTACTGTCTTCCGCAGCATCTAAGCTATCAGTTGTGCTGTAATCCTGACAAGAGCAAATGGTCTTGGAATTAGTGGCTTGCAACAACCTTCACTCATCGAAGCCAGCCCCTAAATAGAGTTATACCCCCATGGCTGGCAAACCTGCATATTCCAAGCATGAGTCCCTACGCCAACGGAAAACGGAAAACTAAACTGACCGCTGACTGACAACAAGAGATGGTGCTCCTTGTTACTAAGTGCATTAAATTTTATTTAAGTGCATTCAACGACAACAATGTTGTAATTCCATGGTTCACAGCTTGCTTAATCCAAAGGTATCATCATCACCACCATTTCGTCAAGCGGGCAACCGGACAGAAAATAGGCCTTCTCTAGGGGTATTTATTCAGATCTCTTTCTTCAAAACAAAAGGACCGAAACGTTTTGAAAAACTTCCCGATCAATTTAGGTTTCTGGGAAACTGCCCACCTACTCCTCTCCTAAGTCAACATCAACACTTACTTCTCACTTAGGGCAAAATGTTGGATTAGGGGAGGGGTAGGTGGGCAATTTCCTAGAAACCTAAATTGATCCAAATTTCCTTTGTTGGTTAATGAACCCTTGGTTAGCTAAACTGCCCTTTAAACAATTACAATGACCAGAGTAACTAGTATGCATCGACAGTACCTTTGAGTGCTCCACTTCAGATGTGGTTGAAGTTTCCACTGAGGTAAATAGAACTGTGGCCTTCATAGGTGAAAGTCGTGGCGAGCCAGGTGTTGAACTGGGTCCTTTGAAAGGAGCCTTGCATTCCAGTTTTGCCAAGAGCCCTATTAAATGATGCTGTTGTCTACAAGTGAGAATAACAAACAACATTTTGACGGAATCCTGAAAATTTGTGCTTACGGAATCCTGGATCCTGGGATTTGGAATCTGGAATACAGCTCAAGGAATGGGAAATCCCACTAGCCCCCTCTACGATGTTATGTTTGTATTAGCCGTCCCTCTCTTTTAGATTATTTACAGTAGATAGTTTTTACATGAAGTCACGGTGGCAATATTGGTGCAAAAAACAATGAAAAGTATAAAACAAAAATCTGTGGCGATTGGCTCTTTTCTCATGTAAAAAGTTTCTTTTGTTTTAAGCAATCTGCAGAGCGGCTGACCACGGTAGTGAAAGCGATCTTCGTCTTTACAGTTAAAAAGTCTTCACAGCCTTTAAATTCACTGCTACTTGAAATCCATGTTCCGTTTCTTACAAACCTGGCATCCATTTTTCTAACTTTTTCTGTCACAAGAGCAATAGTTTCATCAGTTTTCAGAGGGCAAGATGATATTGAGGAAGGCCTTTTAACCTGCGATGATGTAGAGCTCAAGTGCTGCTGCGGAGAAAAGAGGACATTGTTGTTGTTATTTTTTAACGTTTGCTGTTGTTTTTTTTCAGGTGATCTTTAGGAGGTCCCCTAATGTTTTATGAGATTGTCGGGATCGAGCATCTACCCTTGCAGGCGGCCATCTTGGCTTCAAATATGCAGAGTCTAGTCTGGTAATGAATATCAAAATCTACTTAGGGGGCCGGGGATGGTTTGAGTCTAGTCTAGTGATGAATATCAAAATCTACTTAGGGGGCCAGGGATGGTTTAAGTCTAGTCTGGTTATGAATATCATAATCAACTTAGGGGGCCGGGGATGGTTCGAGTCTAGTCTACTAGTGATGAACATCAAAATCTACGGTACTTAGGGGGCCGGCGATGATTTGAGTCTAGTCTGGTAATATGAATATCAAAATCTACTTAGGGGACCGGGGATGGTTTGAGTCTAAACTGGCGATGATTATCAAAATCTTCTTAGGGGACCAGGGATGGTTTGGGAGGAGGCGATTTTTCTCCTCTCCCTCTTCAGGCCTTCACCTCAGAAAAATCCAGGGGTTTGCACCCTCCATACATTCAAAACCAGATGGCCGCCCACAATGGGAAGCGCTTGATCTCAACAACCTTACAGAAAGCAAGGAAAATGTGAACAGTCTATACATACATATATTTGTACTTTCTTACCTTTGATCTTTCAGGAGCAGTCTGGGAGCCAGATGCTTTTGATTCTGTAAATTAATGAAATAAACTATATTAATCCATTACTTTTGCTAAAAACTTAACTTGACAACCTTCACTGCAACTCTTAGCAGACAAATAGTATTTTAGTCACCAAATTTATTTCTTTTCAACATGGTGACCAAAATGGTCTCAGGCTGGAAAACTATCATACATGTATCCTGTGCTATATGACAGAGGCAGATGGGACCAAACTCATTAGGGAGGATAAGCATCATGTTTATCTCAAACGGCAAATGCGAATTTATGCCATGTGACCAAGTTTCTTCTTTACTTGTTGTTGACTGTTTATTATTTCTACACCTACATTAGTAGTTTCAAACAATTTTTTATCCATAAGAATTGTTTTGAGCTGTTTTTATCTGCTCATTTTCTATTTTGAGAAATTCTCAACTTGAATCTGATATATGCTGTTTGCCATATACGTGAAGCTTAAACGGTACAGTACAGTTAAAATCCTCCAAGACAGTAAACCTGTTACCATGGAGTTGTACTGGCAAAAACACGGTCGTCCAGTGCAGTGAAACCACTCTCATCCTGCGTAGATTACTTTTTTGTGCATGAATGATAACATGAGGTAGTGCACTACTACATTGTTTTCTCACCTACTGACTTATTCTCTTCAGCCATTGCTCTGAAGATCTCTTCTGTATTATCATCCATCTTGTCTGATGAAGGTTTGCTTTTTCTTGTAGCAGATAATGGCCTGCTTTTCTTCTCAGGAGCTTGCGAAATAAAATAACAAAAAAGTGATATGCGAGATAAAAATACATTGTTATTACAGTAACCACCTGTAAGATGCATTTCTAAAAATACAACAAAAAGAATGACATCTGAAAATGGTTCAAATCATCCAAACCAGGATTCATGAAATCAAAGTTCAAAACAGTGCTTTCACTTTAATAAGTTCTATGACAGAAAATGACAGAACTCAATAGGAAGTGAATTTTTCCGGTGTGGTCAATTTATCGTACATGTACATGTATTTTTCTATGACCAGTAAAGCCAGGCTCAAATGTCTACATGAAACGCACAAAACCATGAATACCAGAAATATTTATGGAATGTTATTGTGTTGCGAGGAAAAAGCCGATAAGATGTGAGATAACGCAACTGCAAACAGCAATGGTAATTAGTTTGTGCTTTTGAGGCTTGCTCACAAGTCCTGAACTTTATTGTGATTGGTCACTCAACAATCAACATTCCTGAAGTTTTTCAGGTGTTTATGGTTTTCTGAGTTTTACAGAAATAATTTCCTCTGTTTGTGGTATTATTAAGGGTTGTACATGATAACAAATGATAACAAGTATAAGACATTATTATGAGCACAAAATTATTATGAGCTGTGTGCTCAAAGTCAAAACAATAAAATGATAGATACTTACTGGATGTTAGGGTCACTTCTGTACATTGTGATTCATTTTCTAACCTGAGCATGTAGACAAAGGGAATCAATCCAATATTAGTTCCAATATTAGTCACTATGATTTGAATTTAAGATGATGTGGAACACAGAAATACAAATTTAAATGAAGAACTTCATTTCTCGCTTCATTCCTTTCACAGGTTAAAATGTACTCAACAATTTGACCTGCTCCCAGCGTATGGATCTTTGCAGCTCTGTTGGCAGAGCACTGCACCTGGGTTTGAATCCGATTGAAGTTTCGAAAACTGTTTTGAGGTTAATTTGCAAAATACTGTTTACACTAAGGAGTGTAAAAGTGTTTTTGTTGTCAGGGGAAGTGCAGTTACTGTAATAGAAGCACTAGTCAAAGAATATGACAAGCCTTGCCTTTTTTGTCTTTGTGTGTCTGCAGTCACTCTATGATTGGATGACAAAAGCTCTGAATCATACTCATCTGCATTTTTCTTTCGCCTGAAGGGGAAATTAAAAAAAGAAGGATTCAAGCAAGTATGCGGCTATAAGGTACAATCTTAAAACAACAGATTTAAACCTACCAGTGGCTTATTAAATGATACCCACTTCATATACACCTTGCTATTGCTGGCAGTAACATCACTTTGGGCATTTAATGCCCAATGATTAATAATCAATAATTAGTGATGATTAGTGATAATTAGTGATTAATAATAATTAATTAATAATTAGTGATGTTACTTTGAGCATTTAATGTCCCTAAAAAATAAAACCAGTTAATTTTTATCATAAAAATGAAACAATAATAATCCATACCGTGTTGCTGAGAGGGTCCGTTCTTTTCTTTTCACTAAAAACAAACAAGCGGGCCTTAGAATTAATTCACACAGCTTATTATTAAAAGTAAGCCTCACCATGACAGAACTACATGTAGACATAGTAAAGGGTTACTAATACCAGTAACTGTACTGTCAAAACTCTTGTAAGAGACCCCTTAAAATCCCATGAAAAACTCATGTATGCAATAAATAATCCTCAAGGATTAGCACAGAGGTTTAGTGTACAGTCTTCTGTGTGGGAGGTTCTGAGGTTCTTCCCAAGTGTTTCTACTTCTTTCCTTTCCGTGAAGCTTCAAGAAGTCCTTAAAACGAGCACTGAATGAGCTAAACGGCTAAATGAGCATGCTATCAGTCTCATGTTTGTCAGTTGTAAAAAGAGTAACTAACATAAAATAAGGACCTTTACCCTTTAACCCTCTAAGCCCCAATATCCACATACAAATTCTCCAAACTGATCTCCATACATTTCCTTAAAGAATAAGTTGAGAGAATTTGTTCAAAGATCAAATAATTTCCCCTTAGGTGATCATTTTATTTATTCTCATAAACTTTTCTTTTAATTATGTATTGAGATTGTTGGGGGAAAAATGATGTTGGTCACTCTTGGAACTAAAAGGGTTAACCTTAAATAGGCTACTTGCACTAAGAGGTCACGCAACCAATGCTTCCTTCAAACAATGAGTTGGAATCTAGCTGATGCCAAAAATTGACGGAGCGCATAAAAATTATCTTAGACTGAAATTTGAGAGGAAACGCATTTAAGGGAGATATTTTATGGCACTTTGATTTTTCAACAAAGTAGTATGATTTGTGTTAGCTGTCATGTTGGAGGGCATACTCTTGCCCTCCAACATGGCAGCCAAAACTACTTTTTGCTTCTATCTTGTTAAAACTTTGATAGTTACGCTGGGATGTGCTGAAAACATTACCACATCATATTTTCAACAATTTCGTTGAAGTTTAAGTGCAAAATTTCTGTTCAAAAAGAGATAATTCATAGTTTTAAAAACCACATTTTGGTCACGTGATCAGCTATGAACTTACTTATTTTAAGAAAATGGTGCGGGTTTGAAAAAACTAAGTCACTACTATTAATTTTGTTTAAGATATGACCCACTAATGGTTTTTTGAAGGCAAAATCATATAACTTTCATTTTCATAAAAATGATGTCACATGACCTCTTAGTGCAAATGGCCTATTGAGACTCATCAAGCAGACTGACCTGTAGAGGATGAAAAGCTAAGAACAACCAAATCCTCAGCATGGGTTTCTGGAACATTACTGTACTTTTGACTTCTATGTTTTCTCTCACCCTCCCTGACTTCAGGAGCCACAGACACACTCTTAGTCTTCTCGGATTGGCTGTGTTTACCCTGAACATGGTTTACCACAACATCAGAAGGTCTGTGATTACTTCTTGAAATACTTGATGGCCTTAAATTTGTATCTTCTAAACCAGAACTATTGAGTAAAGGACTGTCGACTTTCTGACTTCTGGCACCGGGTGTGCTTGTCAACTGTGGAAGCCTTTCAAGTGCAGCAGCATTATGAAGATTCAAACTGTCATTGGCTCCTTCTAACTCTTCTTCAATTTCACAATCATCATCATCGTCAGAGCTGTCATTGTTGTTAGTCTTTGTTTGTTCTTTATTATCTTGATCTAATCTCTGAAAACGACACATTAACAGGATAAAGCAAAAATTTCTTTTCCCATAATTAAATTACCAGTATATTATTTTTAGTATGTCTGCACAGGAATGGCTGAGATAAGTAAATAAAAGGATAACTATAACGCCCATAGATTCAGAAGGGACCAGGCTCTTTGGGGAAGAACTATATAATGAGATGCATTCATTTGGCATACTAAACTCTCACCCAATTTAATCCCAGGACAGATCTATAATACATCACCAGCGTAAAAAGACCAAGCTAAGGTATGTAATTTAAATTGATTGCTCTTCTAGAGATATCTTGTTGGCCTCAGGAAAGATGACTGTATTCTTCACAGTGTTGCATACCTTTCTAGCTGCCTCTATGCTTTCTCTTATGGACTCATCAGCTTCTAAAGATTTTCGCAGTGTCTGTGGAAAAAAAAAAGATGTCACAAAACAGACTTTACAGTCTTAATGAAAGACGTCCTTATGCTATGAACAAAAACCCTATACCAATTTCAAAATAACAGAGTGACAGTGTATTAATTCTTAAGAGGTGAACAATTTTGCAACAACTTTTCTTACTGAAACAATTAAATTTTTAATACTGTGCACAGAAACAGATGTAAAATATTGTATGCTGTGGTCACAAAAAAGATCTGTTGGACCAAAGAATGCACTGTAGTTTTATGCTTTTTATACCTCAACATCATTAAAACTCAAGGCAAGTTCATCCACTTCATTATCATCATCATCATCATTATCATCATCATCGTCTTCATAATCCAGACCTTTATTTTCAGGGCCACTAAGATTACCGTCATCCTAGAAAAGGAGGAAATATAGTTACAAGTAAAATAACATAGTGAGAAAAACTCTCAAAAATAAAATATCACTTCTGAGAGTTTGACAAGCAATCTAAGTGCCCTATAGTGATAAGGGCCACTTCATTAAATAATGCATAACCTCCATTTGCAATGATTAATACCTGGTCTGAAGCACTGTCACTGTCATCCACAGCAACTGATTCAAAATCTTCACTGTATTTACCAGTTAGCCTCCCTAGAACCAGACACAAGATATGAGTTGAAATGCTGAGTAGTCATACTGTGTTGCCAGATCACTTCAGATCTTAAAGCATTGCACAAAACTTGTGTTCATGGTCCCCTGCTCCTGCTCAGCAGTTGGAAGGTGTAGATGATGATAATGATGATGATGATGATTATTATTATTTTGCAAAGCTTACAGACCTTTTAAGAACAGTTGTAACAATTGATAGCATTGTTTCAGATACAGTCAATCTCGGCCTTACATGACCTTAACAATAATATTATTTATGTAAGATGACCCTTATTTTAAAGACTGTGCCTATCTGGGATGGAAAGTTATAAAGTTATAATCCTACCAAGCTTAACATACACTCTGTATCTCATGTAATAGGTGAGCATGATCATTCTTATGACCACCATAGTGCCTTAGCTAATAGTTTGTACTTCCCATGTTTAGTTTTATACCATACATTTAATGATCAAAAATCTCTAATCATAACATTATTACCTGGTGCTCTTAGTTTTACTTTCTTTCCTTCATCAGTTCTTATTTGTATTGAATCCTTTAAAGAGAAGAGAAAGTGTACGTGTGTTATTTGAAGAATCAACAAAACCAATAAATAACAAACAATGAGGAGGTATAAAAAAAAAAACAGATAAAAAACGTTGCATCATTTTCATTAAATGGACAAAATCATAAACTGATCCAAAAATAAGCGAGATTATTCTAGAGTAAAGCTATCAAGTGACAATAAAAACATGGTTGACAAAGGAATAACAGCACCCCACCCCCCTCAACCCTGATAACCATTCAGTCCAGAAACAATAGAGAGGAGCGGTCATTACGTCAAAATGCCATGATAGCAAAATTTCTGGATCCAAACAAACCACAGTCCTACAAATACGGCAGAAAAAAATTGACATGTATGACTTTGTGCATGATTGCACTCGGGAACAACATTTTTCTTCCATCGTTCAACAATGCAAATGCCGTCTCTGTCAAGAAAGATCGTTGAGATCTAGGGGCGAGTTGTTCAAAGCTGGGTTAAGATAACCCAGGGTTAGTGCAAAATTTGGATTCAAATTTGAAAGCTTAAAAAGCATTTCAGTTTTAATTGTTTTTGTCAACAAGTTAATGATTGGAATCTCTAAAATTATCCAAGGCAATGCACAAGAAAAAGAAACCCAGGTTAAGTGCCAATCGGCCTTCAAACAACTAGGCCCAGGAATTTTGCTACCATGGTAACATGACATCACACTTCTCCTCTCTATAAAAATAGATGACCTGCCAGGTGAGTAGGTAGAAAAACAAAATGATTATTTCTATACCCCACTCAATATAAGACAGACTTCAGAATTAACAATAAATTGAGCATTGAAAGGAAATGAACATAGACAACACTTACATAATTCCAACCTTTGCGGGAGGTTGGAGTTTGATCAGGAGCTGTTTTTATCCGGGAATTCCTGTGGTAATTAAAATATGTTAAAACATTAAGAGTATAAATGGATGTAAGAAAACCCAATGTCTATAAATTCTAGCTGAAAAGTAACTAAGTAACAAAATTAAAATTGAACAATTACATGAAACTAAAACAACACACCTCGCTTCTGCTTCTTTTTCTAACGCCTGCAGTTCATGTTGAAGCAGCTTCTTTCTTTCACGATATGCATCTACAAAAAAGAAAGAGACACCCAGTCAAAAGCTGCAGAAGTGTTAGCAATGCAATCTAAGAAGAACCGAGGGCATGATCACCAAAATGAACCCTCTTCAGCTGCTAATCTCCCTTCTCAAATTCCTTGATAAAAAGAACTTAGGGAGCAAGTAAAGCCAAATATCTGTAATGACAGACTTCAGTTCTGTTAAATTAAAGTAAAGTATTAAAAGTAAAGACTTTTTTGGTTATTGACATTAAGAGTCAAAGGGTAAAATCTAAGGGTTGCTATGATGACAAGAAAAACAATACCACCGCTTAAAGTCTCTTAGTTATTAAAGTCACACTTCTACTACAAAAAGTGTACTCACTGAGAGTAGCAAAGTAGCATGGCAAATTCCCAGATTGCTCTGCTACAGCTTAGCAGACTAGTTATGTGCTTGCAAACCAAAAAATGGAAAATTTGACATAAGGTCAAGAGTCACTATCTTAAGGTATTTTCCCCTTCACATTAAAGAACTGTAGCTTGCTGAAAGCACAAGATGTCAGTCTTGTTTGCAAAAGAGAGTATTTGAGGAGCTCTTCATGCCCTGGCTGATCATGCAAACTACACTGTACATAAATTATGCAACAGGTCATTTCCAAGTTCTAAGAGCCCTCACTTTCAAAATGAGGCTAAGTGCAAAACTTTGTTGAGAAAATGAGTTTTATTTTCATGACAATAAAAAACAATTTTCATATCAATGGCTTCGCACTTAGCCTCACTTTGGAACAGAGGCTTGAGGCAACTCGGAAATGGCCTTTTACTAGAAAGAGAAAAACAAGAACCCCCATCCCACCTCCTGCAGTTTTGGTATGTCTTGATGAACTACGAGATTTGGCTCTTGAATATGCTCTTCCCAGTTCCACATTGGCACCGTTCACATAAATGGAAAAACCTTGCTCTTTTTTCTCCAACTCAATCTGCTGCTCATCTTTCTTTTTCAGCTTTTTTAGCAACCTACATGTAACAAGAAAGGGGAGAAAAGGATTTGATTCAGTAAGCAGGTGTCAAAGTAGTGGCTCAGCTTAATCCTTGATTTTAATTTTATCTAAATGCTTTCCTTTGTTTTTGGGACTATGGTAATGTATGAAGGCCAGTTTTTCACGGTTTCTAGGATAAAACTGAACTGAAACCTCTATTACAAGCATAAAATCAGACTATTCCAGTCTATACAAATTTTCAAACAGTCACTAGCTGCTAATAATAACCATTGTTTACCTTCTTTGTTTGTCATACAAAAGCAAGTGGGACAATTAAACAAATCTAATAATAATAATTATTATTATGAGCATAATATATGAAGAATGTCCTGTGGCATGCCAGTTCACATGATATCTAAAAGCACAACCAAGGAATTGAATACAAAACTACCAAAACTGATATATCAAATCATGCTAGTAGTCGGGGCAGGAGTTTCACCAAGAATTTCTGGATTGCAAATCCATTTCTGTATTCATTTGCAATTCATGTCCTGTAGGCAGCCTTTGATTTTTGAATTACCTGTTTCTCTGTTGTAGCAGCAGAAGATACTCTTCATAGTCAGGATGGACTTCATCTTTTACAGACGCAACCTAGTTTATGCAAAGTATAAGAAATAATAATCATAGTTCTCACTAATATCAATACTTACAAAAGATCTCAGATTCATGCATTACAAGTAATTCAACTGAATGATTATTTTTAGCATGTGTGGAGCTATGCAGCTGACTTGAACAAACATTTTAAGTCAACTCTCTCTAAGAAGGATACCTTCGAGACCAGCACTATGAGAGACTATGTCCTCTAGAGATGTCCATTTTTTTAGAGCCAACTAAAAGGAGAAAAGAAAGGCAGAGGCCAACTCTAGAGAGGTGTCCATCTTATAGAGGTGTCCATTAACCCTTTAGGTCCCAAGAGTGACTAACATCAATTTTCTCCTAACAACATCAGCAGATCATCAAGAGTAAAGGTTATGAGAATTACTGAACTGATTACCAAACGGACAATGCTTTGATCTTAAACCAAATTCTCTCAACTGTTTTTAAAAGAAATGTATGGAGATCAGTCTCAAGAATTTGTATGTGGATCTTGGGGCTTGAAGGGTTAAGAGAGATTTAGCTGTATTACACAATACCTCCTCTTTATGTCTTCCTGGTTTTCCTCTTGATTTATCCCACTTTCCATAGGAATCTATTGGAATAAAGAGATAATGGTTCGCAAACATCCCAGATCTATAACTTTTATATAAAACTGTTGTTGCATTCAGCATCGGGAGAGCACTAAATAAACTTTATATGCAGGATTACAGTAATGAAGAAGCCTGGACACAAGCATTAAAGTAGGAATAAACTCAATTTGTGGATGGGAGGGCTGGTTATTGAATGAGGAAATACATTATAAGCCTTATATGGACAGCAGGTAAGGTCTGTACACACCTAACAGACAAACTAAAGTAGCACCAGAATGCGGGAACAAAGATGCATGTGCAAAGAATTAACGTGTTGTTATTGTAGAGGTATGTCACAAATGCTTTCCAAATCAATAGACTTAGGGTCTTTATCACAAGACCAGGAAAATAAGCTTGATTAATTATTAATCAAGCTTATGGCAAAATTGTGAGAGTGAACAGGTCTGAAACTTATGATTTCCAAAAAGACTAAGTAGCAGAGGTTGTTTTGTTCTTACATTTCTCAAGCAGTAGTAAGCTCTTGTTCATGGATGATACTGAAAAAGCAGGTCCACAACCAGTTGCAAAAATGTTGAGACACTCCCATGAAAAAACAACCTTTCATGCTTCAAATCGCTGCTAGTCACAGATCTGTGAGATAATTTATAATACTGACCTCCCTCCTCCCTCCCATTCAAAGTTGTTCCTCCAAGTTTTGAGCATAGTCTTGTATTGCTAGCAACTTTGATAAGGGGTGGAGGGGGGATCACAAGAACAAGATCATGGACAGGCTATTTATGCCAAAATATGGTACTGAGTCTCATTAGTAATTTTGCAACTGGTTGTAGCACTTTACACTATGAGAAAAAATGTGCTCCAAATTTTTTCTGCATAAACATTGTTGAGAATCCAAACATGTCATGGTCAGAAATTTTTGAATATTTATGGTCGAGTAAATAAAGAAATTATTGCACTATTGATCATCTCCAAATAGAGCATGCAAAGCTAGAGGTGTGAGAAAATCTCTGTAAGAAATCACCCACCACACAAAAATAGACTGCACATTTTAAGAACCTGTTTAGGAGTGACGGATAAGCCATGTGTAAAGCTTTAATGGTGCCCTGATAAAAACTTTCTTGTCTCTACAGCTAGTGGGCTAGAATCGATATTTGATCGTGCGTACTAAGCTTACAAGCTCGGATACTATCTCAAATTTTACGTACAAGTTAATTGACTGGTGCATGTAAGCTTATGTGTATGGAATTTCAAGGTGAATCTCACAATAATATTAAGAGGTAAAAATGTTTTACACAATAACAAAATTTCAAAAAGCAGTTAACGTTGGCAGTTGTTATGTACACAATATAACGGCAACCACGGATACCATTCTACAGAAGCAGGAAACCAGCTGGCTGTCATAAACATGAACGTACACTTACCATCCATCGCAAACTTCACATCCCTTAAACGTTATGTTATCAGGTAAGATGGTTTATACTTCGTAAGTGGTCTAATGATGACCATTGATCCATGCTGATAGAAAATTGAGCATTAAAAACCGCCCAAAACATGAAAACATACACACCATTAGCCAATATGGCTACCTGATGGCTTGGTTACATAGCGAAAAGGAATTCTGGGTAACAAGGATCCCGAATCCCGCGCGGGCAAGAAAGTCATCCCGCCGTCACTCGCCAAGATTCCTCGGCAGTTTTAGGTTTTGAAGAGATGTTTATTCTGCCAGAAATTCTTCAAATAGCAGTTGTCAAACTTGTCATCCGCTGAGTGTACTGAGTGCTATTTTTGATATACAGTAAAACTGCCGCTTATAAGCTTTAGGCTTATACATCTCCATAAGAGGGCTTATAATGGAGGGGTTTATATCCGAGGGAGTTTGTAACAGGAATCAGGAGCCTATAACTTGCAGGAATTGAAAAAAGCCCTCTGAAATAAGCTACTGTACAGCATTGCCGATCAAAATACGTTTTGCATTTACTGGTTTCCAACAAAGCTTCAAAACGTCATAACAAATCAAATTTATTTCAATACATTTGGAATGGGCGGTGGGGGCATATATCCGATGGGGCTTATAATAGGATTTTTACAATAACTGAGCGAATACTCGCGGGCTGATTGGTCGAGAGCTATAGTCCATGAGAGTACAGATCATGGAAATGACGTAACCTGTCAAGCAGTGCCGGTTGTTTTGTTTTTGTTTTTCGTAAAAAAAAAAAATGTTATTGTACAAAAAGCTTTACAGTATAACCACGCCTGCGGCTGGTGGTTCCACTTGAGTTTTGAACATTTTATGACGTTATTTCTATGCTCTATACGCGTGCAGATCATGGAAAATTGTGGTTGTCCCTTTTTCTTTCGATGCCTGTACAACTGACGTCAATTGTACTTATGAAGTTTGTTGTTGGTTCTCTCCTTTGCTCGGAGAGGTTTTTCTCCGGGTACTCCGGTTTTCCCCTCTCCTCAAAAACCAATATTTTCAAATTCCAATTCGACCAGGAATCAAGTGGACGGTGAACCACTTTGTGGATGTGCTACCTCCAAATCATTATTTATTATTTATTAGTATTATTTTAATTTGGTCAGCGGTATTTGGTTGTGAAGAATATAGCTAAGGGTTACCGACAAAACTAATTGTGGATGAATACTAATTATAATTACATGCAATGTTTAGTGCTGAGTTATTAGCTGAGCTATTAGTATAAGTCAGTTAATTAGCGTATAAATTTGAAGCTATCCTGAAAGGAGATTAAATTTTTTAATTATACGTCTCCACGTTTTTCGAATGGCGTATTTCTTTATGAACTATAAACAACTTTAAGTATTCATTTCCCAGGCGGATCAAAGTATTATTTCAAGGTTTTCTTTGAGATGGTCATTTACACCAAAAAAGAGTTTTAACTTTATATTTGATAATCAGTCTTCACAGTAAAAATGTGAAACTGAAACCACTAATTAAATTTTAATTAACCTCTCACTGCATGGATTAGAAAGTCGATAAAAACGGAGATGAATTTTTCCTACAATCTAGCACATACGGTTTAGTACCTAGTTGCGAACTTTTAAGCCAAGGACGCAATTGTTGCAATTCATATACTAGTCGTTAAGGTACTCTTCTATCACGAAACGTGGCCACTTGCAAAACAAGTCATATGCCGGATATTAGCAACATATATTATCGATTAATTAGTCTTTAAAATGACCTCGATCTCGCGACTTCGTCTCTCGCTCCTCTTAAAAAGCTCGCTCCGTTCCGGCTTTATATTACATCATTTCTGTCGTGATAAGTTGACTTGTAGCACGTCTAAGCCGTACTATCAATTTTCAGGAATTTGGAGGCTTATTTTCGTCTGCCCAAGTTTCTCTGTGTCTTGCGAATTGCTTACAACAATCCGACAAAACTGGACACTGCATCTCGATGCGTTGGTCAAAAATAAGCCCTAGATGTGAAAGGAGCTCCGCTTATTAGCATAACATGATTACTTGTTGTACTTGAAATAATTAAAGTGTACTAACATAATACCATACATATTGCTTGTGTCAATCAGAATTATTGTGTTTAATTACAAAAAGCTGAACGGAATACATCATATATGGTAATAAAGAGTCATACTTGATTATAAGGAGATTATAATAAACATAGTTTTATTCTTTTAAGTACAAGAGAACACAAGAGATTGAGAGAGATTCTTCACTAGTGAGTGTTAGTTAGCCATGATATGGTTACGACTGGCTAAATTCTGTTGGTTTTAAAACCATTAGTTGTACAAAGTCAAAAATGTTACTTATAAATGCAGTAAAAGAAGGAAGGACTACGCAAGTGAAGATGTTTATAAAAGTTGGAATAGACGTGAATGAAGTTGACGAAAATGGCCATACTGGGCTTATACACTCCTGCTTTCTTCAAGACGCTCGAGTGAGGATGAAAATTTGTAAAGCGCTGGTTTTTGCTGGAGCAGATATTAACAAGAGGGACAATTATGGACGATCACTTCTTTCGTGGGCTTGTTTAAAAGGAAGAGTTGAAATCGTCCGCTTTCTGCTGAATGATCAATCATGTATTGATCTTCAAATAAATGTCACTGATAAGGGTGGAAACAACACGCTTCTTCTCTCCGTCATCTCTGGAAACTTTCCTCTTGTCAAAATGATTGTGGGAGTTTTAAAAGACAGTGCCCGATCAAGCGAACTCAACAAAGCTAACGACGCTGGTATGCGTCCTCTGATTGTCGCGTTTCTACGCGGCGATAAGCTTTGCGCGCAGCTTCTCGTTAAACAAGCTGGTTCTTCAGTTTCGAGTGTACTTAAATATCTGAAGAGTGTTCAAAACGACCCTTATGAGTTCCGTGTGAGCATCTCGTCGTTGCCTTTATTTGATTCATCACGGAACGAAAAGCAAACCTTGGATAGTTTTGTTCAATTTACTCAGCTGACAGAAGATAACATTTTTTCGTTTCTGTTTGCGAAGGATGAAGGCTCACTGGATAAGCAGAAGTGCAAAACGCAAGAGATAAAAGATGACGATAAACTTTCGCCTCAGCAGAAAATTTTGTTGGCAAGAAGATCTGGGTTGAAAAGGCGAGATTATACATCACGAGAGCGGTCCGATACAAAGGAAAGCAGCTATGAATTGGGTACTTATAGCAATTTATTTAAAGGATCATCCGATTACCTTGTAATGAGAAACGAGCTCTTGACGCACGAAAGCTATGCACCTACGCGTGAAAACAACAAAGCTAGGTCATCGCGCACGTCAATTCAAAAACTGTTGATTCTTTACGCCGAGCAGAACTCTCCCTCCTTCCGACAAGGTTTACCTGTCCGTAAATACAACCCCGCACCTCAGCCACCCCATATAAACGCGGAAGGCGACGGGGAACTTGATTCCAGGCGTTCGAGTTTGCATCCCGGTGAGTGCGACTCGATAGCAGGACTATCTCCACGCCTTCTTGGAGAATCTCTACTGGATCAACAGACGCGTCTGAAGTATGCGCGCAATTCGAGAGCTGCCAGTATGCAGGTACCAAGGTTACCTTCTTTAGGACGCGGACGTGTGAAAAGAACCAAATCTTCAACTGTCATGGCTGCTGTGAAATTTTAAGAACTCATTCTGGTGACTCAAATAATAAATACATTGCCAAAAAAACATTATATTTCTTTCAATACAAACGTGTCTGCCTTGTCCCAGTCGCTCGCGATAACTTTCTGGGGGATATTTGAGTTAATTATCAAGGAAAGCGCGGGCGAAAGGAGTGATGGGAAGGGAAAGAAATGCTCTCTTTTTTTCCTTCCCATCACTCCCTGCTCGCGCTCTGCGGTCCTTCCCATCATCCCCCTCTCGCGCTTCCCGCTTGTTCCAAGCTCCCTCTAAGCCTTGGAAATGCCTGTGAACGAGGCAGCAGATGTATTTTTTTACATGTAGGCTTCTAGGTTACGTCTCTCACCGCGGAGTAATAAAACCTTCCCCTTGCTTAAAGAATAAAAATGGAGCAGTATCGTTTTCGTTTGAGGTTTGCATTTTTCTCGTCTTGCATCCAGTCTCGAAGCTGGGGACAAATGAAAGTGGTGTTTCTTGAGTCCACAGATTTAAGATTGCTTTAGCATTTGCATTTACTCGGGGTTAAATGATGAGGAACGGCAACAAAAGGAAACTGGGGTTGTGTACAAGCGAGGTATTACGTCACCTTGCCAAATAGCACTTGCACGGGGGGAAATCAGTAACATACTCGGCTCCTTCTCCTGCGTGTTATATACTGTTTATCTGAAGTTGTTTCGTTATCAAGGCAGATCGTCCTTGATGATCGTTTCTAGTTCTTACGGACTGAGAACCTGCCTTGTACTCAGGCGTCTCTCTTGAAAAAAAAATTGAGCGCAAGGGAAGGCGGGAAGGAGAAAACGGGCGAGAGCTTTGCCTCTCCTCTTTCACCTTCCCATGGTCCATTACGCTTCGTCACCAGTTACTCCTGTTATACGCTCGCCTCTATGCGAAATACGAAGCGCCTGAGGAGAAGGCAGGACTGAGAACTATACCCTTGATTATGCATTGCTAAAAGCAGAAATTCCTAAATAAAAATACCCAGTTTAAATCTTTGCATCTGAAGGTGATCCTCTCCCCTCCCAATCTTAGCATGTAGTCCATGCAAAATCAAACGTATAACAGTAAAACTGTTCGAGGATACTTAAATTGACGTAAAAACCAATTTAGTAATCAAATCTTCCATGTACATACGAGGTGCGGTCCAAAACGATTTTAATCTGAATTTAAACTTACACTGATGGTGTTCTTTAAATTCCGACAAGTTTTTCGGACACTTCGAAAATTTAACTTGCTATGAACACTTTTGTCTTGCGTTTGCTTCAAAACTGTTTCTTCCTGTGTTAAAAAATACACACACACAAACAACAACAACAACAAAAACAGAGCACCGAGTACACCGAGCTTGAGCAAAATTAAACCATTATTATAGCTACAGTACTTGACCAAATACTCTAAGTTAGCTCAGTCTCTAGCTGCCCCCTCTGAATACCTTTGCCACCTCCATCATAAGTCTCATGGTTTGCTCCGAGCTTCTTTCCTCTCGCTCCCGGTCCATTCGTGTCATCTGCAGTAAAAATTCCCTGTCTCTCCGATCGCTTTCCTCCATGTACTCTTTAAGAAACTGAAGTGGCTTTTCTTTCTTGTCTTGCGCAGAGCCTCCTTCGTTGCCTTTCATTCTAGAATCTCTGTTCAAATGTGTTCCAAAGCTTTCTCCCACGCGCGAAGAAGCCGCATTGTTATCGCTCATGCTTAAACGCATATCCCCACCGCGGGTGGGAGGAACAGTACCGACACCACTCCCCCTGGGGCTTTCTTGATTACTTGCAATACTACTTTTGAACACTTTTGCCATCTCCATCATCATTTTCATTGTTCGCTCGTAATTTCTTTCCTCTCTCTCGCGGTCCATCTGCGCCATCTGCAGCAAGAATTCCCTGTCTCGACGATCGCTTTCCTCCATATAACTCCTGAGAAACTGAATTGTAGAGTTATCATCGTCATCCGTTGGTGTCTTTTTCTTTCTTTTCCTAGGGGGTTCTTTTCTCTGTGGCGATTCCCTCTCCTCGGCTACTGCCTGATTAACCTCCACTCCTGTAATCCCAGTTTGCAGACCAGTGGTTGTATCAACGTTCAGCGCAGAGCTGGTTGGAATATTCACAACGACGATATCATCGCTTGTGCTGCTGTCTTCGTTGTCCCCGCCACCCGCTGACGCCTTCTCGCCCTCCTGGGTAACCGTACTTGGGTCGCTCAACTCAGACCCTCCTCCCTGCACTCTCCCGAGCACTTGATCAAGTTCTTCAAAGTAGTCGCATTTTCTGTCATCCTCGCCGGTCTCGATCATTCGTTTCTTTGTTGTTCTGTAGTCAAACACTATGCTCTTCATGCGTCCCTTGCACTGTTGACCCGTCCGAAACGTTTCAAATCCACACTGCGCAAGTTTCTGGTTCAGCAACCGAGCGACTATGTCCCAAGCTTTGGCGTTCCTTTGTTGGCTAATATTTTGATGTTGCTCGGCCCAAAACCCTATAAGAAACCGAGTCTCAGCGTCGGACCAATTCGGAGAGCGGCCGGGCTTTATCGGCATTGCCGATATGAAAGAATCAGTACTTCTAGCAGGAGGCACATTGGGCGCTGAGCTGCGTCCTTCAGAGGATAGGCTCGAGAAGGCGCTGAGAGATGTCGGGGAACTGACTTTACCTTGAGCTGTAGTGCCTCTATCACGCGAAAGCATCTCGGACCGAAAGAGAGGCTGCTGATTCGATCCGTTGCTATCAGTTCCAGTGGGAGACAATACTGATGAAGCAAACTGACTGCAAAGAACAATTCGAATCAAAACTTAAGGTTATTATCTTATAAGGAACAGTTAACTGAAGACGAGATTTAGGACCTGTTTACATGGAGGTGGGGGGCCCAGGTAAGAGAGGTAACAGCCTTAGGTGGAGTAACCCGCCTGTCCATATAATCTCTTATATGGCCACCCCATCTATCATGTGAACGTGATCAAATTAAAATGAGAGATTATATGGACAGGTGGGTTACCCCATCTAAGCGGATTACCTCAACTACTTGGGGTCCCCCACCTTCAAGTAAACAGGCCCTTAACGCATAACTTCCACGCGGCATGAAGCTTATTCTAGCCTTTCAGATAGTGGGAACGGCGCAAAAAAAAAAAAAAAGCGAGTGGTTGGGGTAGGGAGAGAGGGTGAGGGAACGCCTGTTGAACTTCGCTCGCTTTAAGGTCAAGTCGCCCGAAACCATAGTTATGTCGCCCTAAATTTTTAGTCAAGTCACCCGAACTTTTATTTGTTCATCAACATCCAAACATCTTAATCGCGCTTGTTTCGTTTCATCAAATCTTTAAGAAAAAGATATACTACTCACTTGACGTGCTTGTTTCGTTTCCTCAAGGCTAAAAGAACGAGATATGTAACACATTCATCTCGCTTGTTTTGTCTCTTCATCGGGTAAAGAATGGGATATGGTACACATTCATCCCGAATGTTCCATCTCACCATAGCATCATTGCTTAAAGAACGAGACTTAATTACACAATTATCCCGCTTGTTTTGTCTCGATATCGCTTAAAGAACGGGATAAAAATTGTACTACATACACTCTTATTAACAATTTCGGGTGACATGACTCTGGTTTCGGACGATATAACTTCGAGCGATTTCACCGATTGCCTCGCTCCTCACTCCCCCTTCCTTTTCCTCCGCTCTTTTCCTCCTCTCCATTTCACGTCCTTCTCCAGTATCTGAACGCCTTGAACAAGCTACGCGGAAAGTGCCGAATCGAGTACCGTGCCAAAAAGAGCACAACGCATAAATTATGACAAATTATGACATTCCTGAACCGACGCGATGACAACTTAATGACCAAGCCATGACCTCGCAATCCAATGTGTTTAAAGCGTTTTGATCGTAATTTGTTTGCAAAGGGGCTTTTAAGCCTAATGCCCCTGAATATGCTCTTAATTAACAAAACTTAACATATTTATAGTAGTGTTTAATACTATGGACACACCCTTTAAAATACAACGTTGTGCAGTCAGCGCTTACCCTGTCGCCGATTTCCCCTCAGCTTGCTCCACAGTTTCCCTTTAAAGAGATAATAAAGCGGGAAGAGAGGGAGAGGACGGGAGGGGAGGGAGGAACAGAACATGCTGAGAAGCCAACGCGCAAAACATTATTCGCTGACTAAACTTAGATCAGTCTCGATTTGCTCACCGAGTAATGGATGACGACCTTTTTATAGCGAGGTCTTCTATAAGTGTTCCCTCTTTTTTTGGAAAAAAAAAAATCAAATCGAATTTCGCTTTTTATAGTTCTGACAGGCAAATCCAGGCATTCCTGATTAACCAGCGAGCGTGTCTACTCTTACAAGGTCGGATATAAATACTAACTTATTTGTAAAATATGTTCTCGGTTGACTTTCTTCCATCGGAGAATTTCGCGCTTGTCAAACGCGAAAATGCTCGAAACTACCGGTTCCGTAAGGAGGGCCAAACACTAGTTCTTTGTCTCCTTTGCTTAGACGGTTAACGACGAGAAAATGACTCGATAAAATTGATGAAATAGCAAAGCTATCTGTCGTTTCAAGAAAAGAGTTACTGAGTCATAGAAGACTGGCGATTCAAATTTTTTTGAGGTTTAATTAATATAGTTTTTTTTTTTTTTGCATTGTAACTTAAGTCATACTACTCAAGCTAACATGCGTGAGAAATTGCCGTGTGTCTACTTAAAAGTCTATTTAACAGATAATCAAACTAGGAATCTAATTAACACATCACGACAACAAATAATTCAATAGCACAAAACTCTGTTTGGAAATCTCCCAGAAAATGTATATACTTCGTTCTGTAAACGCCTCTGAGAGGGATCTTCACGGAAATTATTTTCACCCTGGGCATGAACAACCAGTGTAGAGAAGGTTACATAGTCACCCACCTGACCATCAATCCTTCATCGGAGTCGGAAGACCCTGGTGAGGTGTATAACCACACGTGGTTAGTCAAATATCACAAGTGTAGTCGTGGAAAATTTCCAAATCGCCAAAAAAGGAAGATAAAACGATGAACTTGCCACTTCCAGAGACGACATCAGCATAACTTCTCTCCTTATCCATTCTCAAATACCTTTGTTTTCGACAAAACAATCACAAAGTCTATTCGAAACTGTGTCACTTTCGGAGTGAAACACGAGCCACGAAAATGACCGATTTTGCACTTAGAACCGCCTTCAGCATTCCACGATACTTGGCGACACAATGCGTCAAGATAAGATTCCGATATATACCTCAGACTGAAATAAACCACTCTTTAACCGTTTTTCCCGGTGCTCAGAAGTGTTTTTTTTCTGGTAGCCAAAACATAATAAAACAAACAAAAAACAAAAAAGGAAAAAAAATTGCAACTCGAAGTCTAACTCGAACTCGGACTCGATGTCCAACTCGAGGTTTCAGGATTCCCCATCTAGGGTCGGTTAAGATTTCATAATTTGTCATAATTTATGCGTTGTGTTCTTTTTGGCACGGCACTCAATTCGGCACTTTACCTTCTTACCAGAAGACCCCCTAGGACTGGTCACTATGATATCACTGTTTAATTGGATACAGCACGTGTGTGAATGTTCCCTTTTTTAAGGCAGTTCTTCAACATTTTTTGTCCAAGTCACATAAAACTTGAACATAAAAGCATTGCACGCTTTTATTTATTGACAGTCGAACCTCTCGCTCCTTATCTATAATGACTACAATTTTGATTCTTCACTTATGTAATTGTGTTTATTTGTCTCTTTTTCTCTATCTATCACATGTAAACGGGGCTGAGTGAAATAAATCTTCTTGTCTTGTCTTGTCTTGCCCTCTCCACAATGGCCAGCTTGGGGACAGAAGGTTAACCTGCGCAGCAAGCGTTTTCGCGCGACTTCGTCGAGAAAGTTGGAACGAGAGCAAAAAAAAAGGAATGATGGGAATGACCTTTTTTTTTTTTTCGCTCCCGCTCTAACTTTCGCGCAATAACCAGAATGGAAACGCTGGCTACGCAGGCTAGCAGAAGTGGAGAGGTGACTGTTAGTGGAGGTTCGACTGTGTATTTATTTATTTATTTATTTATTTATTCACTCATTCATCAACTTATGAAAACTTGTCCACTCTACCGGGGTCTATTTGCCCTACAAGGAGGTGTGAAGATGAACCATTCGCTATCTTGATCATCATTTTTTTCTTTTTTTTTCCCTATTTCAAAGTATCCATTTAACCGATCGTAGCTAGTGTTTAAGAAAAAATTCGTAATAAAAGGGAAAAAAAAGATGTGTGAGAGTGTAGTTCATTTCAGCAACCTTTTTTGCTGCAATCTCTTTCGTATGCAAATTTAATTAAATGAAGTACACAACAATATATTACAAAAATACTGCAACTAAAATTTCATTTCCGAGTATCATTGATGTTTCAATTTGTGTACAACTTTTAGTTAAGTAGGCTGCGAGAAGTCTCTTACAATTATCTTTCTTAAACGATAGTGAGGTATATATCAGCCTCGCTTTTTTGCTGATATAGAAATACCGTAACTGTCTGCCTTGTGACATATTACAGAAATGTGCAGTACTTATTAGTTTTTTCCTTTAAATCCTTTAAAAACCGCCGCATTCTTCTGATTGAGCGCTTATCGAGCAAATAAGATTTTTGCTTTCGTTAAACTCGCGTTTCGTGGGGTGAGCGCTTGCATCTCGCGTGTTTCGCGTGCCACCCGACGTCAAGAGCCTTACTGCAGTAAATTCCCTAAATCTTTCAGGGTTTTAAATAGAGGTTCTTCCACTTACTTTGAATATATTAATGCAATCTAGTTGTAGTATTATACCGCCAATAAACTGCTATTGTCCAAAACGGTAACACAAAAAGTGACATTGGTTAATAAGTCAGAAAACTCTGCCTCCTATCTGTCCTACAAATTAATGCATACGTCTTGTAGAAAATAAGTTCAAGTATAAAATCCCGACATATTAAATCGCTTCGAGGCCCCTCCACATGGGGCAATATTGAAACTGGAATAAATTCAAGTTCAGTTTTGTTACATGTAAATTCTCATGTGTGAACAAACACGTTGTTGTCACGTTCAGTGTCATGTTATATCTTAAAAACCATCTTCACATGTCGTCAGGTAATTGTCGTTTTAAGATGCTTCTGAAATCCTTTGAATTAAACAAATAGAGAGAAACGAAACAGCGGAATTGATCCAGTTGTCCTCTTTTTGCAGAAAAAACCGGATATTATAAATAAAGTAGACTTACATATGCGAAATGGATTGGAAAATGCAGTGCAATCAACGCAACTTGAACTGAATAAAACATTTTCTGATTTTGAAGGGGAAATAAATCCCTACAAGTCCGTCTGACAAGCCAGCCTTTTTCTTTCGTCAAACCCGCGAAATGATCTCAAGCGTAGCTGGCCTGGACGAAGAAAAAAATCACATCTAAAACAAGTTCACAATGAAGACACAACAGCTTTCGTTCATTTCAATGTGGACATGTACACAAGCTGTGTTTGGATCCCCTCGCCTCTTTCAGATGATCTATTTGCTGCTTATTTCGCGCGAAATCAACAAGAACAAAATGTTATCGAACTAAAAGAGAGTTAACGATTACTAGTACCTGAAATGATCGAGGCTTGATAGCGAATTGCCCTCTGTTTTGTCCATGTTTGAACACAAGCGAAACGGGATACCAGTCAAATGGAAGACGCCACACAATGAAGCAAGTTTATCGAATACTGCCACTTGATTGGCTCAGACACAATGGGTAAAGAATTTGCAATTGAAAACCTGGTGTAGATTTACTCGAAGAGTTGAAAACGTCGCGTCTAGATTTGATTGCTACTTTCGCTTCGCTTCGCTTAAAATTCGTTTGGAACCGCTACCTGTCAGAGAGTCAGTCTGTCTACTCACAAGATCAGTTCTTTTATTCACGTACAAAAAGTTTGAGTGCAAAACTGGTCAACTGTAATCATAATATGGATTCAAGTGTTGTCAATGTGAATACGGCTCAATTCTTTCTCAATGCTGTAGTCGCACTACAAGCCTCAAGGGCCACAAACCGCCAAGAAAAGCTTATAAGAAGACTTCGTGCGCTCAAGAAACGACGTCTTCGAACACTGATGGCGTTACTCGCTTACTTCGAACAAGAAAGACGAAAAGCCGCCAAAGTCCAGCCGCCTGTTGCAGAAGGGCCACAAAAACGCGTTTGGGTTTTGCACAGGGATCAGTTCATGTTTGAGGAGCTTATTGCGGGTAACCTCCCGGACGAAACATGGCATCAGAACTTCCATGTCTCTAGGAAAACGTTTTTCAAGATTTGCGATGTAGTTCGATCCGAATTATCCCGGCAGGACACGAACATGAGGCCGTCTGTTTCGCTGGAGAAACGAGTTGCTGTCGCTTTGAATCGACTCGCCACTGGAAGCTGCTATACAGCTTGCGGCTTGGGCTATGGCCTTCCCAAATCAACGGCCAACGTGGTAAAGAATGAATTTTGCGACATTTTGAGGAGGAAAGCGGCAAATTACATCAAGTTTCCGAGAACCGAGGAGGAAACTAAAAAAGTCATGGGAGAATTCGAACATATTTCTTCTTTTCCCCAAGTGGTTGGAGCCCTGGATTCAACCCACCTAAAGATCATTGCACCCAAGCAAAATAAGTACGATTTTTTGGGCAAGAAAATATTTTACAGTGTTCTGGTGTTAGGGGTAGCTGACAGTAACTGTAAATTTATTCACGTCAGTGCCGGATGCCCAGGGTCCGTGACTCATTCACAGATGTTGCGTGACAGTGTGTTACAGCGTGACGTTGAAAATGGTGTTATTTTAAATGCACCAGTTCGAGTAATTAGCGGAAGGGAGGTCAAGCCTCTCCTTGTTGGGAATCATTATTTCGACATGAGCCCCTGGCTAATGAAACCCTTTACAGAGCCGCCAAATGTTACCTCAAGCCAGAGCACTTTCAACACTGCACTGAGCGCTGCAAGGGAAAAGATCATTCAGTCATTTGGGCTGTTAAGAGGTCGTTGGCGATGCCTTATGGAAACTCTTAAGGAGGACACACTGAGGGTTCCTACAACTGTTATTGCTTGCTGCGTTTTGCACAACTTGTGCATCGAGGAGGGGGATGATGCCCCAGTTGAGCCTGCAATCATACAGAATGATGTTGATGTTAATGTTGAGGACTCTAATGAGGGGCCAGTTGATGACGAAGATGGAATACTCCTGAGGGAGGCAATAAGTAACTACTTAGAGAGGCATAGCAATATTTATTAGTAGTAGAACTTATAAACAGCCCTGGAACTAAAGTCTTGAACTAAAACAAGCCAAATTTTGCTTTGGTAACCATGTATCCATAATAATAATATTATTTAAAGCTAAATCTGGGACAAGCTCTAGCTGTTAAGGCCCTGTGACTCATGTGTGCATTTATCTACAGCTGGAGCCTGTTAATGCAAACACTGTGGGGGGCCATAGAAAGTCTCCATATAAATGGGGCATCTAGGGAAAAAAACTGAGGATCAAAAGATCAGACCTTTTTCACATACTCAAGACTTACCATAGAAACGCATTGTACAGCATTATAAACAACACTGCAGGAAAGTTCTGTTCAATAGCTTTTCTTAAGGGTCTGCATGTACGATTTCATCCACATTTCCAAATATTAGAACCACAGAGAGCAACAGAGATCTCAGCAAGTGTACCAGCCTGCCTTCTCATATATACCCAGGAAAAATTTTATCGGAAAATAAGGGATGAGCCAAGCCAGCTATGTAAAGCAGGCCTGTCCAGCTATTAAACCTTGCTGGCTCACCTCATATAATTAAACAGGCCCTTATGTAACCTCAGTGTTATCATGGCTCTAGTTTTGCTTTATGAGTGAATTTACCATTCCACCTTGTGATATTTTGTAACTTGAAAAAGATCACAATTTATATTCAGTATATTAAAATATTAATTCTTGTTGTGGGAGGTATTTGCCATCTTTTTTTGGGGGGGAGGGGAAAGACCTATTTTTTTCTTTTTTCTTTTCTTTTTTTTTTCATTTGAAGAATTGTTCCTTTTTCCTTTGGGCTATCATACCTTTTCAGGATTGGAATTAATTCTCTGCCCATCTCTCCCATCAATTTACAGGGGAAAGCCTGAAGAACGAGGTGGGCTTTAAACCACACTCATTGAGGCTGTAAGGCCTTACCTGTATGGGTCGGATAATGAAGGGGGCAGTCTCCCCCAAAAATGATCTGCAAATGAAACTTAACTTCCCACAGCATATCGCAACCTGAGAAAACCGAGAAGCCGCTAAGGAGTAGGCAGTTTCTTAGGGTCAGGCCCTCACCTTCCACGCTTCTACTGTGTTTAGGATCGTGAACGAATCCAATGGGCTAGATTTTTTTAAGTATAGAGGGTCGTCTATCACCTGCAGAAAGAAAGTACCCCTCCCCTCCGTAAAAAAACTTAATTGCACCCCATACGAGTACACAAACCTAATGATGGAAGTACCGAAGCACGTACACAGAGTTGGCCGGCGCAAAAGACCCATGTACGTATAAATATAAGTACGTGTCGTAACTAAAAAAGAGATAAGCTCAAGTTAACGGATATCCTTGAAAAGTGAAGAACAATCTAAGAACAGAACAGGTAGAAGAGCTCGTTTCAGCAATTAAGCCCCTAAGTCCAAAGCGTGACCAATATCAATCTTCTCCTGACAAAAGACCTTTTCACGGTTTTTCAACTTTTGACATGGACAAGATAGGGAAAATCTGTGGACACCACTGGAATTAGCGCCTTAATATTATTGTAATTGTCAAATTTGAAGGTGATACGTACCGTATTTATTCGATTAACCGCCCTGGGCGATTGTTAAATTTTTGGACCTTGAGAGTGGGCGCTTATTCGAGGTGGGCGCTTATTCGAGGCTAGGCGCTTATTAAATTTTCACCATTTTCAGCAAGTGAAGTATGTTTATTTTGCAACAAAACACTAAATGCTAATAACAAAACGCGAAGAAGTAACAAAGCAAGATTTCTGTAAAATACTCTGAAGAAAACTCCGTCCTCGGGGAAGTCTCGTATTAGAATTTATTCACTCAAGTGGGTGGGGTGGGGGTGCGCGCTTATTTGAGTTTAATTGGGAGGAGGAAGGGGTGGGCGCTAATTCGAGGTTGGGCGCTTATTCGAGTAAATACGGTATGAACCACCATGCAAACGTCTGTCTTCGTTAGTTTTCAACAAATCACTTTCAAACCAGGCAATTTTATTAATCTTAAAGCGTTGTTTTCAGTGGTGTCAACGAATTTTCCCTAACTTGTCCATGTCAAAAGTTGAAAAAACCGTGCAAAGATCTGTAACAATCATAATCAAGCGAATTAGAAGAATTAATTAAATTATCAACAAAAGAAAAATGCTTTGATCTTTTATCAAATTCTAATGACTTGTCAGTGGCGGATCAAGGGGAGCCTGTCCCCACCCCCCGTTATTTTTGGATCAAACTGAGGCCCGAAGGTCCGAAAAAAAAAATTTAAGACCGCCCCCGCTCTTATCTTAGGGTCTGGATGACCACCCCCTCCCCCCTTATTTGAAGGACTGGATCCTCCACGGCTTGTTCTTTAAGAAAATGTACGGGAATCAGTTTGGAGAATTTGTATGTGAATACTGGGTCACCTAACGGGTTACATCAGCAAATACGGGTCAAAATCTGCGCAAGACAAAGCACGTATGCAATGCCGCGCTGCACGTATTAAGACTTCGACACGTGTGGCGACGGAAAAACTGCTTGGCGTGCAGAAATAATTGTTGCTTGTAACCTACTTATCCGTGCCACAGTCCTTTGACATGCTAATGCGTTTTCTACCAGTAATCGTATGTAACAGCCTCTTAGGCCCTGTTCACACTGATGAGTTTTCGTTTGAAAACGTGTACATTTCGATGCGTTTAGGCCTTCCGTCCGCACTGATAACACATCGATTTGAAAACGCTCTTGAAAGTGGATCAAAACGAAAACGCATACAAATCGTATTAGTATGGACGGACGAAAACGCATCATAATGGAAACAATTATCGAAAATATCTCAGGAGCGTGTGTTTGTAGATGGTGCATAGAGCATAGAGTTCAACTTACATCATAAACGTGCAATTCTATCGTTTTCGAACGTTTTACGAATGAGCGCATCAAAACGGTAGTGTGGACGCGAATCGATCCACGATGTGTTTTCGATGACAAGGAAAACGCATACTTTCAAACGCACAAGTGTGGACAGGACGTTAGTCACTGGCACAGAAATCTCATAAGAAATCCAATTCATGTATATCCGCACTAAAGAGAAAAGACATACAAATAATTCCATCTAAGCTGCTTGAAGCACGTCACAACAGCCAAATAATCGCCTTACAAAAAAATCCTGTTTCAAGTTGGGTTTTCAATTCAGGGTCGTAACATGGTATATGGGATCAGGGCTCAAAGCCCAAAATTAATGTTACAGCGCGCAGACGCAGAGAAAACACAATATTCTTTGGTGGGCAAAGTTGGGCAGGGAATATACCCGCAAGGCTCGGATAAAACCCACCGACCGGATGATGACCGAATGAGGGGCCTCGGTACATGGCGCCATACCGAGGGGGTGCCTCATGCCTGTACTGCAAGGGGGGGCATAGTTCACGCGTGAAAACGCATGGCCGGCA